CCTAGGGGACGCTTTTAATCGTAGTAAGTGAGCTACGACTGACGGGGGGGTTCCCTCCTGTACGGTCATTTCAGGGAAATTTCTAGCCCTAACCTGACATCCCTGGGCCGTTTTTTCCCTACAGTATCGCCAGACATGTCTCCTGCGAAGATCCCCCGTTATTGGACACTTGGAGTCTCTACGTTCGGGGCAGCTCCAGCACCAGAGAAATATTTCACATCCCGCAATTTGATTTCTACCTCACTTCAAGCACAGCGGCCGCTGTCCCTTACGCTGCGCCGCGCTGTCACCAAGTCGGCCGTAAAGCGTTGTTGTTCTCAGAATGGCACGCTTAGTTGGAGAGACCCGGGCTTCTGGACATCCAAAGCAATTTGGACACGGTCTGCTATTAACACTTTCCGCTGCCTGGTAGGATGTACATCGGGCGACTTCTCTACCATGTGGTATCTTCAGTCTGCGTATCCGGAGCTTGATAACGTGGCGACCATGAGTGTTTCAAGTGAGTCCATGGCTCGGAACACCCCATACACGCCACTATTGCAGTTAGATCGACCAAATTATGCTGACCAAACCCACCTAGTGACTGCCGGCATCATGACCTCCATCCTTCTCGAGACCACCCTCCTCCACTTCGGTCGCGATCGCCTGCTTTGGAAATCTGCGGCCAGGACGGCCACGGGAATGAGCATGATCTCTATGTTGGCCATGGAAGCTGCAGAAAATGTGATTGATTACTCCCTCACCGGTGGCTGTGTCGATTTTGAAAGTCCATATTTTTGGATGGCAGCAGGAACTTCAGCAGTCGCAGGTTTTTTGTTCCCTTTGCCGTATAACTATTTCCGACTACGAGCTTATCGAAAGTCGTGCCACTAAAAAAAACCATTCTCTACTTGTTTAGCTTTCTTCTCAGTGGAAGACATGAAGCAATGAAGTCATCTTCCTGTTGATATGATCAGTCGCATGCTTCCCTCCGACACGTGAGAAATATCCTGATATACATTTTGTTTCCAAGCATAGTGCTAAGTTCCGCTCAAGAAACTTAATGGAATGCTGAGTCGCTGTCAAATGGCTTTGGGTTGGCCCTGTTACGCGCAGATTGGGTACCTAAACCGCTGAAAGAAGTCTCCAGCAGCACCACTCATTTTGTGCCTGGCAACAGATGTTAACCGCCAACTACACTTCTATACATTCAATAAACACAGAAGAATTCGTTGCCTGCCAGTTATAAGTAGCTAGTTTCTCGCAGATTTAGTTAGCATTTAATAAGGCAACTTTGCAATCTCCAATGCGGAGGATCGGGCGTATCGAGTTGCAACAGTTATGAGCCCGGAGCGGTACAAACGCGCAACTTAGTTGTTTACCTGATGCCTCGGTCGATCTGTCTTTGTTCTATCAAGTAACGTCGGTCGACTAGATCGATTCATTCTGTTCTTTAGTCAAGCCTCTAACCTTTCTCGCCTCGTACCATACCATATCTTCTCCTGTTGTCCTCAGCTCTCCAGCTGAGTGGGCAGCCTGGTATGCAGAGGAAAAGGCTAGAACAACAAGTCTAAAGGTGTGGGACTACTGTTGTCCCAAGCAATCTTTTCTGCCAGACCGATCTGAGCGACTGGAGGATGATTCAGCAACTGGGACAGCCTGTACCGCAGCACATGACCGCGGACCGGTGGTCTTAAGACGCTGGGAAGTTAGTAATGCCACACGAGGCAAGATCGAGACCAACAATGGAAAAGCTCAACGGGCTGATCCGTACCAGTATTCTCCTGAAATATTCAGCAATGCTGCAACCCACGAAACCATATCTCAATCTGAAGAGACAGGCCAGGTGTGTACGATTGCCGCGCCGATAGTGTAGGGACGAACGAGGTTGACTGGTCCACTCAAACCTTTGTTTGGTGTTTATCGAGATGGCATTCATAATAGATGTTGTGCCAGTTAGGAGGAAGACAGATGATGTGTGCAAGCCTACCGTCATGCTACCAGATTAGTCTTTTGATCAATACGGGTTTTGGCCAATTCAAATGGCAAAAAATGGATGAACGAATACTCCTTTCTTCTCACATACGGTTCGCAGACACCAGAGCTCCAATGAAGACTTCTTCCCGGATATTCTGCTTTATTCCAATTCGAGCAAATGGGACGTAGGGTGCTATGGCTTGAACTGGGCATCCAGAATCGCTGATCAGAAGAGTATCTCGACCTTCCTTTGTATTTGTCGAATAATGCAGAAATGCCATGACCGAATGATGACCGAGACTAATCCAGCCACGTTGTCAGGCGCAAATAGTAATCATGTTCTCAAGATGTGTAGAATGGCAGGCCTTGTCACAGCGTTTGCTTAAGTAGAGAAGTTGTCCGCAGGCGTTATATGGTGATTTGGAAATTTTCCGTCATGATTAAATCTTCAAATTATTGTTACTTATAGCCCGCAGCACATGGCCACTAATCAGTTCCCTTTGAATCATTTCATAATACCTGAGTATCGGCGTCAATCCATCGCTCAATCTTCGCCCCGAGGGACGATGTCAGTTAAATGGAGAATTAATATTGCTCTGATAGGAAGCTATGCAAGCAATACCATTTATCACCCAAGATCTGGTAATGAAGCTGTAACCGCTCCACGAACTTTCCTATGAGATGCGAGTGAACGTCTTTTTTATCGATCAATATCTGTCCCTTTTGGCAAAGAAGGCCGCATTGGTTGAGGCGTCTACATTTGTATTGAAAGTTCGACCTTATCGATACGGACAACAGGATATTATATTATTAACCTGATTGTCCGATCATTGGTTGGAACGGGTTTGGCTCCCGGCCAAACCCCCGACTCGGCCACTTTCCGTGCACAATCCCGATGTCGCCACTGCTTCTGATGACCTCTTTCTTTTCTGTCTTTTCGTCTTGCATTTATGTTGGGAGGTTACAGTTCATGCTTCGCCTTTGAATAACAACAGATAGTGCATTAGTTGCTTGTTAGCACGCGTCCTACATAAGCGGCTTTGAAACTCATGGCCCTTACATCGCGACACATTTTAGTTGTATGGAGTTCTTTTGCCGCGTTACAAATCGCACCAACAAGTATCTTGGCAGGACTATCCGGCGCACGTTTCCCAATTACGCCTTGATTGGATCTGGACTTGACGAAGCCATTTAAACCGGAGGCACCGAAAGCCGGCCTTGTCTTGGCTTGGGCTTGAAGACCTCATAGCATTCGTGTCGGGTCAAACATCAAACTCGATGGCTGGAAAGTGCCAGACGCAGGCCAGGTTCACTCCAAAAAAGGCCCTGGGCAAGATATGGTGGTTCGCGAAAGACCAGTGGTTTCTCATCGGAGTGTGTCTCGTCGTCCTCATCTCTTCCCAGGTCCAAGTACCTCGTGACCAACAAGAGATCAAGCAGGTGGTCGTGTCATATCTTTCAGGTATGTCACAAATCACTTCGCCGAGAAACTTGATATGGACGCCCTCTAACGCACGCCAACAGTGTCGCTAGTCTTTTTCGTTGCCGGATGTACGGTTGACACTCGAATTCTGGTTGAAAACTATATGAAGTGGAAACACCATCTGTTTATCCAGGCGGGATGTTTTCTCGTGGTCTCGGCTCTTGCTTTCGCTGTGGTCAGCCTGGCATCGCTCAACAAGTCTTTCATGGACCCCTGGCTGCTGATCGGGTTGATCTTCAATGGGTGCTAACCTACTGCCATGGCATCTAATGTCTTGTTCACCAAACAAGGGGGCGGAAATGCGACTTTGACTGTTGTGGAAACTACCATTGGAAACCTTATGGGCCCCTTCCTCAGCCCCGTCCTCATCCGGATGTACCTGCTCTCCAACGCATGGTACACTGATGTCATCCCGTCTCAGGCTGGCGGATACACCGCTCTATCCAGAAGAGTATTCATGCAGTTTGGTCTGTCAATATACCTCCCCATGACAGTGGGTCAGGTCGTACGCCACTTCTTCCCCAGAGCGGTGCAGAAGGTGTTTTTGGATTGGAACTTCTCCAAAATCGGATCCTTCTGCATGTTGGCCATCTTGTGGCAGACTTTTGATCGGGTTTTTGCAGAAAATGTTCTGACGCACGTCAAACCCTCCAATCTGGTTTTCATCATCTATATCTGCATTGCCAACTGGGGGATCTGGCTCGCTCAGTGCTTCTTACTTTCTATGCTCTGGCTCGGTCGAAAAGATACTATCGCGGCGTGCATGTGTGCATCGGCGAAAACCCTGGCTCTCGGAGTGCGTCTCAGTTTTCTGCTTTTTGAAGGCATTACGGAAAATGAAGAGGCCAAGCTCCAGGTGCCGATGCTTCTCTTCCAGGTCTTCATGCTGGCTCTGGGGAGTTTGTCCACGCTAGTCTTTAGAAGATGGGTGCCGGCGGAAGAGAAGCAAGTAGAGTCTGGAGAGCAAGTTCTGGAGGTTGTTACGGATGCCGAGGCAACGAAAGCCGATACATCCATCAACGCTTCCCGGGACTTACCATAAAAGTTTCGTTTGGCAGGTTAATTGTTAACCTACAGAAACCAACAGGAACAGTGCGCGATATTCACTGTTCATTTTCGTTTAACCGAATTTGTTATGATCGAGCACATACTCTACGCAGGTGTGGAGTACCAAGGTTCCATCGTTTTTTAATGCCTGTCATGGCTTGATAGATTTAGATGGAAGGGACAAAGTAGGAGATGAAGGACCATACCAAAGTTTGCATTATCAGAGAGCATGGACATTGAGCATAGACGGAGCATTCACGGGGTGTTTCAGGGTCTCTAGGTGGTCTTATTCATGGCATAAGCATGCTGACTGATTAGTCATTTCTGCAGCGTTGGACAAATTTCCTGACTCTGTGTACAGATGCTTTTGATGTTCGGAAAAGCCCTACGTGTGTTTGGAACACAGTGTCTCTCACCATCCAAAACATGTGCCGCACGAGCATCATGCAGTCACATTGTCTGACCAATGCAGGTAGTACACCTGAGACCAAAGCACTCGACAGCTAGGATCAAGCTATAAGACTGTGAGTTTGTATGGAAAAGATGCTCAGACGACGCAGTGATTGTCTGTTACCTGAAGCACGATGATTCTGCCAAAGGATATGAAGTCAATGTCCAACAATGCTGATACTCAGGATATACTGTGAATATAGCATCAAAACAGTCGATGTTACCAACTGATACAGAACCCAGCATACTTATCTGATACCGAGCTTGTGGATTGATATCTTCCTCCTTCCGGTCATCTTCGAGGTCCAGGTGATTTTTGCTCCATCAAGTATGACAGAAATCTTCAACCAAAAAAAAAAAAAAAAAAATATCTCAGTCAGCTACTTTTCTCGTGATAGTAATTACAGTGGGCAGGATAAATTCCGCAAACAATAAAGATGCAGAGCATTGTTGTTACGGCAATCATCGTAGGAAGATGACAAGGCACAAAACACCTACAACCCAACTCATCTTCATGTTCGGTATTGCATCCCATGAATCGGATCAGACATCGCCACACTCATTAAATCCACTTGTATCCACACCAATACGACGTCTTGGTGGCGTCGGTGGATCTGCAAGTTCAGATTGACGAAATTGCTCCGATGCAATATTGAGCAGTGAGCAGCGATCGGCGAGAGGACCGAAATTCAAGCTTGGAAAACACACAGCTCCGAGTGCTAGCACTTGTTAGCAATAGAGATATAAGAGAGGACGAGCGTTACATTCACGAACGTAGTGTTCTAGAGATCGGATCACCGCGCTTCACCCAGATCCATCAACGACGGCCAGACCAACCCCGCATCAACATGTTAGTCATCATATGTCGCAGCACTCGATGACTCAAGAAACGGAGAGGCCCTAGGGGTGAAACCCGCTTTGACGACAGTATTTGTTCCTCACACCGTCCGCCCTTACTGAACATATCAACTTTGAAGTTAGGCTCCAACAAGTTCTGAGACCATGGCTTCCACAATCATAGACCACCCTGTCGTCCAACTCTTAAAGGATCTAATGTCTATCGTGAGCACGAGCGAGCTGGAGCACGACATCGGCGTCTTCCTGGAACAACATCCTCAAAGCCTAGGATATACAGTCGAGCGCATTCCCATAGCGCCAGGCTCCACCCGTCACAATGTGTACGCGTATCTCGGATCCAGCCGCAAAACCCGCGTGCTGCTCACGGCACACATGGACACGGTGCCACCGCACATCCCACTATCCCTTGATGGCGACATCGTCCGTGGACGCGGATCTTCCGATGATCTAGGTCCCTTGGCGGCTCAAATTGTCGCCGCAGAAGAGCTCCGGCGGGAAGGCAAGATTCAAGCAGAAGGGGATATTGGACTTTTATTCGTTGTGGGCGAGGAGAACGGTGGCCATGGAATGATCGCGGCAAACGACATGGGAGTCGTCTGCGAAGCTGGCATATTTGCTGAGCCCACGGAGAGTAAGCTTGCAAAGAACACAAGGGACAAGTCGCGTTCGAGGTCATCGCTGGGGGGATCGCCTGGTAAGTCCACTCACCTGTTCTAGAAACCTGGACGAACGGGTAAACTGACACCACCTTCCAACCATGCAGCCACTCAGGGTTAAGGGCCACCTCAGCATTGCTGGCAGTATTAAACGACCTCTCCGCAGCCACCTGGCCGAAATCAGACCTCCTAGGCCCCTCCACATTCAACATCGGAACCCTCGAAGGCGGGGAAAAACACAACATCGTCCCCCCCTCGGCCAAAGCGCTCTGCGAAGTCCGCATGGTCTCCGATCTCCCCGGTGTCAAGACTCAAATCGGCGAGATCGTCTCGCGACATCCAGACATCGAGTTGAAATGGGTCTTCGAGTACCCCGAGGCTCTTTTGGACTGGGAGATTGACGGAGTCGATGCCGCGCCCGTGGCGTTTGGAACGGACGTCCCGCGATTACAGGATAGGTGGTGCGGGAAGAGAGTTCTGTACGGTCCTGGCTCGATTTTGGTGGCGCATGGGCCGAATGAGTATATTCGTATTCCTGAGCTGATTGAGAGTATAGCCGGGTATAAGAAGCTGGTTCTTCATTTCTTGCAGTGATAGTGCTGGGAAGTGTTTTACGGTATCAGTTGGAGCGCGGATCTGGAGGCACGGGTTCACGGCGATAAAACGGAACAATCCTAAAATTGGGCATTTGCGCTCTTTGTTCAAGGAAGCGGTGGAAGTCGAGAGATCGAGTCAAAGTCATACTCTATGTCATAACTAGCAGTGTACTCTACCGTTGCATTTTACCCTTCTGTTTCTACTTTGAGGCCGAAATGAGATGATGCCGCGAACGCTGTTATCGTTTGTGGCTGCTCTGCCTAAGCCCTGGTTATTGCAGGACCAAATTGTCGGATACGGCCAAATATTGATTACATTCTGGTAGTCTAACACTATCAAGGAGGATACAATAGGACGTCTACCAGCAAAGGAGAAGGCACCTGAGAAACATAGCAGTCAGGGGATAGAGTGACAGTATATATACATAAGCTACATGGCATGAAAGAGAGCACCCAGGCAAGCAACAACCATCAAGACGCCCTTGAACGCCGGAACAGTCACAATTGCTCCGGCGTTAGTTTGGCCAGTAATGACCCACTCAAGGTATTCATCAATATACTCCTGCATGTTGTCGAGATCGAGTTGCGATCTCGGAGTTGGCTCTGAGAATTCTGGACAAGAAAAGTCTCCTCGTATACTACCGTTTTCTTTCAAGTCCTGGAACGGGCGACAGAATGCCGATGACTGACCCACGCCAATGCTGAACTCTCCACCTACTCTGTTGAGATCGGGGAAAGTGATTTCGGTGAATTGCCCTTCCAAAGCAACATTACCGGCCACACTGTGCAGCTCTGGAAAATGAACATTCCTGAGGGAGGTATCATTCCGAATGACGAGGTCTAACGTCACGTTTTTCAATTGCGGGAAGCTGAGGGTGTCCAGGACTTGATTGTTCGTGACGATTAGGCCGCGATTATCGGTGACGACGATGTGTGGATCATACCAAGTGCCAATAGTTTGTAAGTTTGGCGCACTCAGCGTGTTCAAGCTGCTCGCGTTGACGATAAAATAACCAATGACGTTTTCCAAGACTGGAACAGTGAGCGAGGCAATTTGTTGCAGTTCCAAGTGCCACACTTCCTTGAGATCTCTCAACCGCACATCTAGGCCAGGCCGGTTTCTCCTCAGCGCGATGTTGTAAGATGCATTCCGCAGAGCCAGGAGCTCTACGGTCTCCAACTTTGGATTGTCGAAGATTTCCACAAAGGTTGCATATAGCAATCGGTTGTTGGTGATATTTGTGAGGGAAGTGTTCCATATCTCGTAGTTGAAGTCGATCCTCGAGACAGTAGACAAGAAATGTGCCGTCGTGAGTTGTGGAAGGTCGTTCAATCTGATTCTATCCGCGTGGTCGAACAAAGGCATGTCAATGGTGGTCAAATTGACCCAGTGTGAGAGATAGAAATCCTTGACCCTATTGAGCCTTGGAGCTGAGAATCGCCAGGCAGGAATGTTCTCGTCGAAATTTAGGGAGAGAACAGATCCCTCCACTGTCTCGAGCACCGGGAATTCGATCTCGGGAGGCAAATCCTCGCCATACTCAATCACTATGTCACCTGCTGCCGTGGTACAAGCCTGAGCAGCCTCTAGTGTTTCTAGAGAGTTTATCAAGATCGTGGAATTTGAGCAGGCACATGGTGTCGATTGCGCGTAGACTGCTAGTAGCAGTCCACCTGCAAAATAAATAATTGAGCCGAAGAACATTATTGCTTCGTAGTACAATCGAGTGATGTTTCAATGAGGTCCGGCTTCACTTCGCTGCGACACGTCAGACTTCCACCACTCAACCACACTGTCGACGTCTGGCTCTGGCATGATGCTGGAGGGAGTAGGAGGAATGAGGGGAAGAGAATCAGGACCCCTCGCCTTTAACCAGCACGCAGACTCTCTCGACAAGGCGGAGGCGCGAGGCTGGGCGCCCAGACATAGTAAGACAACGGAGACCTCGCCGGTGCAATAACTTGACGGGCCGCCAAGACTAAATTTCACAGTACAGCGAGGATTTTGAAATTTGTATGGCGGTTGGATCTTGGTGGCCCATCAATTATTGTACCGACTGAGAACACGTGCGAGGCTTGGGAAAGAGGCTTAATCGACTATAACCCTAAGGATCGAGGGTACCAAGACCACAGCCTCGGCTAGTGAGTCGGTGTGGCTGTTGGTCGGTTGAGTCCGGTAAAGGCGAGAAAGTTGATAGTGCACAGGCACAACTGAATGCTCCACCGCAGCCGAGAGCACACGTGACAAACATCCCACAGACTGAGAGGAGGTGATGCCAAGGGATGTAAAGACGGACCTTAAAGCACACTAGAAGCTTGCCCCTTCTCCCCATAACGCTGTGGGCGTCTCTTACTCTCTGGAAAACTATATAGTCTGACAGATCCCTGCGTCATTAGAGTATGAGGATGTACTCTGTACTCCGACAAGAATCAACCACACCGCACTCCTTCCCCAGCCGCATTATGGTAGCTTCCGTGATTTTACAGCCGCCCATCGACATGCTGTCTTCTATGGAATAACATCTGAATGTCTATGTATTACCCTGGTCGGCGATTCGGGAGCAATCCGAGAAAGCCATATTGTCAAACTTCTCACTGATGATGGACTCCACGGCAACCATGAAAACTAACCAAGAAAGAGGCAACTCAGACGGCGCGGCAACTGAGGTTAAGCTTTTCAAATTTGCTGGGGCCCTCTACGACCTCGATCAGATTTTCAAGGAGTCAGAATCTGTATTCCTTAATACACCACGACGAAAAGTGTTTCGCTACGAAAATACTGTCTTCAAGTTCGGGGCCGACGTGAGCCCCTTTGAGGCAAAGGCTCTGCAATTTATGGGTGATATCAATGGTGTTCCGGTTCCACGACTATATTGCTACGATGTTCGCTTCGATGGAAGAGTGATCGTTGCGATGGAATACATCGAAGGCAGAAGCCTATCGGAACTGTGACCGCATTTGTGCCGCGATGAGAAGATGAAGTTTGTCGGACAGCTTCGGGAGATTCTCGAAAAGATGCGGCAATATAAAAGTGCAGGAAGTGCCATTGGAGGCATCCATGGCGGTCCTGCAGTGGACGCCCGCAGACTTAAGCGCAAGGGTGGCCCGTTCACAACTGAGGAACAATTCAACGAGTTTCTTCGATCTGGCATGATTACAACAGCTCCGAAGATATACCGCACGATGCTGGAAAGATAATTGACGGCGAACCACCGTATCGTTCTTTGTCATGGTGATCTTCGTCCAGATAACATTATCGTTCGCGGCGATAAAAGTGTGGCCATCCTTGATTGGGGAAATGCGGGATACTATCCAGAGTATTGGGAATACGTCCAGTTCTTCAGCGCATTGGACCCCTCGCTGGATCGGTGCGACTATGCTCAAGAAATCTTCTCTGAAACCTACTTTTCTCAAAGTTTGATCGACAAAGTGCTCGGCCAGTATTGCTCGTACTAAACCATGTCTGATAGTACTTGGTACTATGGTATGACTACGATGCGGATTCAACTTCTATTTCTCAGGGAGGACCATGGACAGATGTAAATGCTGTCCATGGTTCATTTTTGACTTTCCCCTGTTGCGTACCACCCATTCATGGCATGGATCATTTTGGTGGTAGCCGAGGATCAAGCACTTTCGGTAATTCAACCCTTTCTATCAATGGCCAGGAGGACGCCTTGAATCCAGTTCTGGCAGTTCCAACCACACCTACCTGGGGCTTTTGCGGCAGAAAATGCTTTTCTAACCCCTTTCATATTTTCCCGATGTTCTCTCCTACAACAAATTCTTTCAGGTCCCCGATATGTATCGGCGGTCTAGGGAATATCATCCACATCCCAAAGACTTTGGGAGGATCTTGACGGCGACTTACTGGGGTAGGAGGAGTAAGGATCTGGCCGAGATCGGATTGCTATTTCTCGCAGATTTGAGGACGAAGTCTACTAGAGTTTTCTCTTCGCTGGATGTGAGGTATTGCTGATCGACTGCTTTGTCCTGCTCAACAGCCTGCTCACAGCATAGCGCCACAGGGCGGACATAATGCGTTCTGACACACTGAAACGGGTTTAGGGTTTACGTAAACCATGATTTGTGACATTCCCATCAGAACCACAACGGAGAACCAACAGTCTGGGCGGTCGTCCTTGGACTGCCCCTGAGACGCAGCGAATTGCAGAACACAAGTGATCGCCATTGGGTAATCCCCTTGCACTCATCGACTCCTTTCCGGGTCTCCATGACATGCCATGTGCCCACCACATAAATTTGACAAATCAGGCACACCGGTTTCAATCATGCTCCCAATCGAGACAAGAAAAAAGAGCTAAAGATGCTTATTTTGCAAACACAGCTGGGGCTGGGATGCTTGTCGCTAATATGCGGGGTTGCTAGATCCCTTTCAGCTCCACCAGATGGCTGGAGAGTGTCTTCAGCTAGCCTCCGGTAGGTGGCGTGGTCTGGCCATCTCTCAGTTTGTCGAAATTGATGATACTACATAAATTTGGCTTTGATGTTTACACCCCTTCGTTCTATTTTGCCAGACTCGAAACACCCAGCTCTTCCAGCCCTGATCGATCTTGAATTTCTAATATGGTAAAAATACTTGCAATTCTCGTTGTGGCCAGCCACATAATGTTCCATCCCAGCTGAACATTGCAGCCTCTGTCTCAGCCATTTGCAACGTGGCGTAAATTGAATCAATCTTCTACATCGGTCTCGACGGGATAAAGTTTCTTTGCAGCACTCAGGGAAAAGATCAACCAAAACCCCGCTATTGAACTACATTCACCGGACACGTCAACGATTGAGTCCAGACGAGGATCCTGTGCTCTTTCCATGGAAGATCGACTAGTAAGTTGAGGACATTCGTACTTGTAAATCCGGTTTTGGAAAGCGTGCGTTCTAGCACCAGAAAATTCTTCCTTCTACTACTCCCTATCACACGGCCGTTGAGCTAAGGCAGCATTCCTACCGTCTCATTAGAGTCACGGTTGGACGGGACGGGGCATATACCTTTCCCTTCCCCGATAACTACCGCATTCCTGTTCCCCCTGCCAAATATCCTGCCAAATAAATGAACCAAATTCTTACGAATCTGCCTTGATGTGACTGTCTTTTCCAGAAAATACACTCTATTGAATTAACTGCGTGGCAAGTTCTCGGTTTCCAGCTGCTACAGAGTCTTCATATCTTGAAGGGAAAGCTCACCTCCAGACCATTGATCTCGGATAAGGTCATTGTCAGTCGACAGAAAATGCAGCTCGTCGAGCGCTTTTGGGCGGTGATCATATCGATTATCAATATCGTAACATTATCACTATTGCAAGATGGCACTGTCAATCAAAATCCTCTGGAAATCGATCTGCCACTCGCTAGACCTTCGTCGGTCATAACGGATTTCAAGACTCAAGCCGGACCTATCTTTCGGCCACCTGGAACTCCAGAGGGCTTTGATTTCACCTGCGACTATTCCGCGATGGTGGGTTGGGAATCCTGCTCAAACCCCTGGGATCGAAAATGCTGGCTTCGGAGAGTTTCAGATGGATCGCAATATGATATCTTCACAGACTATGAGACAGATATGCCCATCGAAACTACTCGATACTACGAGCTAGATCTAGTGGACAGCTCCTGGGATGCCGACGGTATCAACTTTCCATATGCCAAGCTCTTCAACGATGTATATCCTGGGCTATGGATTGAAGCTTGCTGGGGAGATCGGTAGGGTGCTGTCTGATTTTGAACATGGTCATTTGCTGATAATATGTCTGATAGGGTCATCATCAATGTGACTAACAGCCTCAAGTCATATGGAACTTCAGTCCGTTGGCATGTAAGGTACTCCACCATCTTTATCCTATCTTCTTCTAATAGCTGCAGGGCATCCGACAAAACCAGACCATGCACATAGACGGGGTCAATGGCCTCAGGCAATGCCCCATCGCCCCGGGAGACTACTTTGTCTACAATTTCACCGCCACCCAATATGGAAGTTCCTGGTATCATAGCCACTATTCTGTGCAATATGCAGACGGAGCAGCCGGTCCAATAACATTGCACGGGCCAAGTTCCGCCCGCTCCGATGAGGCCATTAGTCCGCCATTTATTCTGACTGACTGGGGACACAAGACAGCATTTGATGCTGTCATTACTGGGAATCTAGACAATTTTGACATGCTACTCAATGGCCAAGGCGATGTGAAAACCTTCAACAACTCAGCAGTGTATGACACCAAGCCAAAAGGTCCGTACAGCATCACCTTTGACCGGCCAGTGATAACGCTTCCAAACAAGAGGTACCTGCTTCGGATCATCAACACGTCGTTCACAACCACATTTATCTTGAGCATCGATAACCACAGGCTACAAGTTGTCAGTGCTGACTTTGTGCCGATATCCCCTTATACCACGACCTCCGTCTTGGTCGGGATTGGACAACGTTACAATGTCATCGTGGAGGCTGCTCCAGAATTGGACCCCCTCAACCCGATTCCCTTGCCCACAGATGGGAACTACTGGATCCGCACCAACATCAGCACTTGCTTGAGCGACTCGTCGCCCGGCGATCCGGGTTATGACCGCACGGGGATCCTGCGCTATAACAGCTCAAGCCAGGCCAAACCTACCAGCCAGCAGTGGGTCGGGATCCCGACCGCCTGCCTAGACGAAGACTATAGCAATTTGCATCCCATGGTGCCGTGGATTGTTGGGAACCCCAGTAATGGACCTATATCAGGGGAGGACTTCGATGTGGGCACCAAAGGCGCGAATTTCAAGACGGCATTCTGGACTCTTGGGTCAGAAAGTGACTCGATTCAAGTGGATTACGATAACATCACCTTCTTCAATCTCGACAACCACCAGGGCTTCAATAACTCGTGGAGAGTCGTCTCTGAAGATTATAGGGGCGCCTGTAAGTGATGGAACGGTACTTCATCCCACAGATGTCCAGGCACTGCTTTTTATTCAGCCAACATTGAATGCTTCGGTGGATTTGTCGCATGCGTCTCCGCACGAGTGCGACGCCCACGCATGACATCTCCCGGCACCCGGCCCCGTTGTGTCTCGTGCGTGATGACCAGTAATCAACTGATATATCCTTCCCCGGTTCGACTGCGACCGCAGAGTGCCGTGAAATCGGATCCAGAGCGCGTTCGGAAGAGTTTCGCAAGTCTAGCTGGAAATATTCTAAGCTGACATCTACACCAGATCTTGGCGATAATGTCATGTGGATGTCACCATCGATTTCGAAATTTCGAAGGTGAGGCGACGTAATGGTTTGACGAATTTCGAATGATACACGGCGGTCTATTCTCTTTTTTGCTTCTAATTGACGCAATGCCACGTCTGTATTGTACTTTTCATCCCGATCTGACTTGATACATCAAGTTGATATGCCGGATAACCATCGGGCGAGGGAGTCGGCGTAAGTGGTTTCTCCCAAGCCACATGTTCTGCTGCGTTGACCTGTGACTTGTTCCATTGGTCCGGAGAAAGCAATCGACTGCATACAAATTCCTGGGACAATCTGTAGTTGGAAATCATGGCTGAATAGATTCGGCGAAGGGAAATACCAGTTGGAACATATATATTTGTCCAAAAGCAAAGAAACGATCATGATTCCGCCGGTCTGTGGAGGTCCAGAGAAGACAGCCAAGCGGGTTCCTGTGTTCGTGACTTCGACCTTTTGGATAGGCTTGTGATACTCAAGCCCTATAGGACCGGTCAATCCAATCATCTGCTATAAGTATCTTACGGTAGGATGGTGCGAGGTGAAGAGGCACATTAGACGTAGCGTCACATTGACCGATGGAATCTGAAGCATGTCCAGCTAGCCGAAAAGATTCCTTGTCTCGTTAAGGATTTCTGTGCTGGAGTCTTCAGGCATGGAAAGTTACGCCTTTCCCATCATGCTTATCCCTAACTGCGTACCCTGAGAAGGGTGCGAAAATATATTTCTAGGTGTTTGGAGTAGTTCGATGTGCAGACACAATGGGCGAATAGTGTAGGCATTCTCTTGCGACACCATCTGCAGAGCGGCAACAGTACGCGTTTCTGACGATTTTCCCGACATTATTCCCTTGTCCCGCTAAGCCGAGACATGTAGTCTGGAAGCGTTTAAAGGCCGCATCTAGGGGATCTGGGACGTAGCCATGCTAGTAACTCCAATTAGGGTACCGCGGGCTGCCAGTGAGTTGGTTGTTGTGGGGCCCAGAGGTGTTTTATGAAAGGCGCGTCGACGAAGCTGTTTTTCAGAGACTCCACGTCAAAACCGGATAAATCGGCAACGTAACCCCTTGATTGATAGGATTTTCTGAAAGCCATGTGAAGCCGACTTCCAGGTCCAAGCTCTCTTTCTGCTGTCTCTTCTCAAGTTCCTGCTCCGAGATTGAGATATGTGGAAGTGTAATGGATGCGCTCATGTCTATAAGGTAGACTTTCTAATTTGATTCTTCGACGAGGAGATTAGACGCTGCGACGCCGCCGTGAAGAATCCCGACGCCATGTAAAGCCTTCAACAACTTGCGAGCTTGGTTTGCAATGTTTGAGGTCATCACAATTTGCGTAGGTGGCCGGCCGTCAACCCACTCCAATAGTATACCTCGTACCTGCTGGTGGTCAACATCTGCCGGTTTATCCCATAGCACTGGTTGAATCCCAAATTGCGAAGGCACGTGTAGCTCCACGGAGCATGGTACATCGATCCAGCCGTAACAGAAGGTGGTAATGTGACCGTTAAACCCTTGTTCAATAAGGGTGCCATACGCAGGGCATTCGATGTAGAAAGGGTCGTGGAAGGCTCTGCGTTCTGTTCCTCTCAACCGGCATACATTTAACTCAGGATTGTCGAATTTGAACTTGCGTCCAGGTCGGCAATTATCCGAAGTTGCAATTCGTCGGACTTACCATCTTCAAAGCGTAGTCTTTCTTCCTAATACGAACCTTAAAACAATGGCCAGACCTCCCACCTCCAGCGTAGGTCTCAAAACGAATTCCACCATTTAACTCGAAGGGCTTCAGCAGAAGAGAGTCAAAGTCTTGGTTTTCGAATGGAGGCATCGTCGCTGTATCTGCAGATGTGAGACCTGGGTTTTGAGTCGTTTTCTCCGAGAATTGATGGCCTTTAGGGCGAGAACCACTGACCACATTTGAGAAAGGAAGGTATAGCGAAGGATCAGACTTGGCCAATTCTGTGGTCTTAGCTATTTTATATAACGTATCTCACGGGCTAGTGGCGCGAACGAGCTAGTGGCGCGGATTCCCCCCTCCTTCTTCCTATTCATCCACTATTCGTCCACAACAACGCGATTTATATTGAATTATAGCTCTATTCGATAGTATGAGATGTTGTACACGTCCTAGAATTGTGCCCTTCTAGTCTACATTGCCTACAACGTCGTTGCGAGCCATTCCCGCGTACGACAATAGGCGGAACCGTTCTCCAGATGCAACCGTACAAAAAGCCCTTCGGTCGATGTACTCCATAAAAGGACACTTCAACAGGTCGTAATGTTAAAGTCTGCGAGTAGACTGCCCTTCAACAAGGCCTCGTCTCCTTGACACTTCTATTTATTATACTTGGTGGTGCCATGAGTGGGCACTGACTAACCCTCATACAAGATGGATTTGTAAGAGGTGAACGATTCGCTTTTAACCCTTCTACTTAGACAAGAACTAATGCTACCTTAGGTAGGGGACTCCAATAGGAGAAGGGAGAAGCTATCATGGAGCGCTTTCATGGAGCGCTTTCATGATTAAGGTCCACCTTGAATCAACTGAAGTCCCACGATATGCCAGGGGATAACAAACTCGGCATAGTAGTCCTTGAGCCCATCAATACATGCCTTGAACGTTAGCTTTTTCTCAAAATCTTCATGATGAGCCTGGTTCAATTAGCTTCCATAGTCTGGCCGAAGTAAGCGGGGGCTATACGCACATCCACGGACTTCCAGTTGATCAAAAGAAGCTGGTTCTGGGGGTTTTCCAGCAGAGGGCTGATAAAATGTCCATCGCAACCAGGGTCGTTGTCCAGGATGGGGACAACAATCTTCTGAAACTGGGAATAGTAGCCTTGCACGCCACCTTCGACGACTTTCGTCAGGGCGACCTCGATTGCGGGTGACTGAAGTGTCTTGGTCAAATGTTCCTTGTCGCTAAGTCCACCTGCTTTGATTGAAGCATGGTTCTGCCATTCAATTTTCCTCCCGTTCATCGCGGGCTGAATGACTTTGTGAAACTCCCTGTATTCGGAGCTTATGAAGAACGCATGACTTGCCTCCAGGCTCTCCCATAAAAGGAGGGCAACCTGGGTGTGGCGGTCCTCATGCTTTGTCCCTCTCCATAGGGCTTGCAGTCCCTTGGCCCTGCTCGTAGCGCGTCAGTGAGTCTCGTTGTAATCAACTGGGAATCGAGTGTATTATGCCGACCTTTGAATTATATCAAAAGCTGGAGCCAAGTCCTTATTTATCTCCGCATCGGTGTGTACCGGTCGGTGAGGGACCATAATAAGCTGGAGAACTAGTGATTGGTCTGCCATGATGTTCGAGAAGTGCCTTATACAATTGTCTGATTGACAGAATGAGCAGGGGAAATGGAAGCATATGAACACTGCCCTTCACAAGAGAAGACATCGCCATCTTTGAGTTTGACTGGATGAAATAGTCAACATTTTGGACCCCCAGAGATTCTCTGACGGATCCTGAGGGCTGTTCAATTGAACATGACCTCCACATTTCGCCCGCTCGATTTGGCTTCAAGTAAACTGGCCGAAATCAGTCCGCCCCACCCAATCGTCGATATCTCCATATTGCCACACTTTGGTCGAATGCAAACTTCGGGGGAGCACAGACTCCGTTCTCTCTCGCCCCTAATGGTGTCTGCGAGGTCCCTTCCAGAAGATAATTAGTCATTTGTCAAGGGGGTTTTCCGGACACCTAGGCTTGTCGATTACAGGAGGGCCTTTTGACGTTGGACTTTATTACTGAGAGGCCATGGCCGTACACTACACCGCGAACATTTCTGGAGATGGCTACTGTTTCGATTCGCCTGGCTCTAGCTGAACACTAGTGTGTACACTCCGAGTATCTGGGGAGACTTCGGTCAGACTACGGATCGTAGTGATTACATCTGATAAATGTGCTATCTGGGGAGAATGCTTTGATCACCTCTCTGATCAATAGCCCTTGTATTGCAAAATTGTATATTCGGTCCAATTTTTCTGTAACAGAAGACGGTACACTATTTACATCAAACTCGAACAGCGACACGGTTGCCGTTGCCTACTTGGCCTTGGAATAAAGCATACTTCACTACAATCACCTTCGAGACACCATATCACGCCTCTTCGACACTTTCCACTCGCTTTTCGCCAGTCTTCTCAAACTCGAGCTTATTGACGTCGATAGCAGAGATCTCCACGGCCACATGATCTCCAAATTTAGCTGCAATTTCTTCCAAGGTCAATCCGGCAGTCTATTCAAGGTTAATCAGCCAATACTTCCCAAAAGGAGCCTGGATCTTACCTCAGGACAATACCAGAGAAGAAAGGTGTTGGATACGATGCAGACCGCAATCATCACAAAGTAGTAGCGCCATCCAATGGTTGCAAAGGCTTCCGCCGCTGGGCTGTTGTACACAATGGTCATTATGAAGTAGGAAACAAAGCCGATCGTCGCACCCTCACTTCGGAGGTGAGTTGGCCATATTTCAACGATGTAGGTATAGCCAGGACACTCAATAAACAGCCCGAAGATGAAGACAAAGATGAAGTACATCGCAGTAGCCGCTTTGAGACCTGCTGCGTTAGAGGATCCGATGTAGTATTTCTGGAGGACTGCCTCAATGATGAGGCAAATACTGCAGAGATAACCTCCCAGAGCTAGAATAGTGTTAGTTGAGCTTGATGAGACGTCAATACGGCGCCACCTACCAAGTTGCTTCACTCGGCCGAGACGTTCGATAAGAAGACCACTGAGCCAAGTTCCGATTGCACATACTGTGACCCAGACGACGGAAAGCCCCAATTGAAGTACGTTACTATATCCCAGACCAGCAAAGAGCTGTGGTGCGAAATTTGCGATGACAACGATGCCAGTCGATTGCCCCATGACCCAAACAATGGATCCACAGATGGCTCGTTTGCGCATGTGAGGCGTTTTCAGGATATACCAGTAACCAGAAGGCAAAGACTATACGACTTTAGTATCTATGCGGCCTTCCTGGAGTTCCATACAACAAACCTTTTCTTCTTCAATCTGCGCCTTGATTTGGATATATTCCATACGTGCAAGTTTCGCCGTGGGGTCTTTCTTCGACTTGTGCAGCTTCTGTAGAACCGCCCAGGCGTCATCGGCTCGTCCGTCATCCTGAGATATGGTGTTAGTATCGCTGCCGCACTTTCTTAAAGGTAGAGCCATTCTTACCATGAGCCACCGAGGACTTTCCGGGATGAAATACATGGTCACCACCAAAAGTAATGCAACGGCGGTCAGAATGATATATTGCAAGCGCCACTGATAGGAATGATCGACAAAGTGGAATGCGAGAGCGAAGACGGATGAGAAAATGTAGGCGCCGGTGATCGAGATCCCCTGGAAACTGACCAGAATACCGCGAGTATGAGCAGGCGCAATTTCGCTCATGTAGACTGGCGTATTCGCGATGATGATACCAGCTCCAATTCCATTAAGGACACGAGCAACGAGGAACATTGCAATGTGGACACTGCCCGCTTGGAGAGCTCCAGCTATCATGATAATGACAGCTGCCGCCATATTACAAGGTCGTCTCCCGAAGCGCGAGGATATGGGGCTCTGAATCACACTTCCAATGAATCCTCCACCAAAGAACCTAGCCAGTCAGGTCAGAGATAGAGTGACTAGAAGCGAGGAATGACTGAATCCCTACGCTCCAAGCATTCCTCCCACGCGAGACGTGGGGTCCTTCATCAAGAAGTACTCAACAAATGAGGTTTGGGCGATCGTCCCAGCAATGGCATTGTTGGAATAGCCAAAGTTGAAACTTGCCGTTGCGGCCGCAAGTATAGTGATGATGTTGATCCAAGTTGTGTGCGGTTTCATAGGGGCATGGCTGTCCCCGAGGTCAGGAGTAGGAGACATGGTTACTGTTTGTGACAGTTAGGACGGGAGCCTGGCCAGGGGAAGGGAGTCTTGACTGAAGATCTTGAGAACGAAGACAAAGAATTTCAAGACCAGTCTGCACCTGGCTCGTTAGCGATGACCTGGGGAGCAGGACGGAGTCTTTAACCTCCACAATATAAGGCCAATACACGGGTGAAGCTGGGGCATAAAATTCTAAATCTCGGAAATTCTCCTCCAAATTTGGGATTCAACGGGATACCCCAGGGAGAAGGGAAACGGGACGTCCTCGTGGGCTACCGAGCACTGTACGGGGCTCCGTTCTGTAGTATGTGGGGGGATCTAGACTCGCACACTGAGGAAAATGTACTAGTAATAACGGTGAACTATCTCATCTAGGAAACCAGGTCTAATTTACTGACTTTTGTACGACACCCTCCGCGTCATTCCTACTGCTTGTCTTCCAACACAGCTACAGATACTACGACATGGGAAGAGTCATCAACAGTGGTGTATTAGACAGTGATCCTTCTGGAGAATCAGGCAGTGATACCGCGGTGCAACGCAATAAATATACTCTGGATGATGCCGTGGAAACGATGTCCCAGCCTCCTGACCCAATAGGGAAAGAAGGCTAAAGATCTAGGCTCATTAGAAGTATTTGTCTCCACAGCTGCAAGGCGTATGGCCGAAGTAGGTAACATAAATTATCAGCCGGAGTATTAATCGGCCTGATTATGACTGGTGCTGGCTCAAGGGACCCTACCCAACGGTGCTTTTACCATGGCCAACTTCAAATGGAGTATATTCCGGGGTTTGGTGCGGAGATTTATGCTAACAAGTGAATTCCCTGCCATCTGGGGTATCCTTGAGTTGTAGGTCCGTGATTGTATACCATACACATACTCCACACGATCAGTGTAGGCCAAACAAGTCTCTGGGATACCTCGTTATTCAGCATCGACAGTCGCGGAATGGTTGATCCAATATTGATCTACAGACAAAACTACCGAACTTGCTCAGCCTATAGCATTAGAAAGATAGCGAAATACATACACGCAAGTAGTAGTTATATTATATATTAGGAGACGCCATCATCCTAGAGTCCTCCTGTATCTCGATCTCTTGAAGGTATTTTTATTGAAAACACGATTTTTCGTACTACTACGCTCGTGGCCTGCCACAGAAGTCTCTCAACATGGGCCCTTTTATCGTCCTAATTGCCCTGACTCTAGTCTTCTCCTACCCGCTATACCGACTGTTTCAGGTTGGCCGTCGACATCCACGCATGCCCCCAGGGCCACCTACAATCCCAATCCTAGGCAACGCTCACCAAATACCGATCACAGGCCTGGGGAGAAAGTACGACAGGTGGATGTATATGTCTAGCTCTGACAGTAGCTAATGTACGCAGGTTCAAGTCCTGGGCCGACGTATATGGGCCTATCTTCTCTTTGACCATCGGTCCCACGAATATTATTGTTCTCTCCGATCGGCGAGCTATTAACAATCTCCTGGAGAAGAAAGGGAGCATCTACTCAGACCGACCATTCAATTACGTCTCCAACTTCGTGACTCATGGTGACCATTTGACCCTTGAGCCTCAAGGCCCCTCATGGAGAGAGAAGCGAACCGTTGTGACGCGAAACCTGAACCCCAAGTCGCTGGATGAGAAGCACTGGAAGATACAAGAAGCAGAGTATGTCTCCATGATTCACACCAGCTATGTTTGAGTACGTACTAAGTTGACAATATCCAGGGCGGTTATATTCATGAATAATATTCTCAAGGATCCATCCAGAATATTTGACTACGCCCGTCTGTACACTGTCTCAGTGGCAGGATCGCTTATCTGGGGGCACAGAGCGACAAGCCTGGAGTCATTTTGGTACAAAGACTTTTACGAGCTAATGGACCTAGTAAGATCTTGTTACATCCTTCTGTCTCATTCGATCATTTCTGACTTTGATTGTAGTGGCTTCATGTTCAGGAGCCCGGGGCTAACCCCCCGATCGATGAGTTCCCAATTCTGAAATACCTTCCTGGTGGTTGGAAGAGTAGGGCCGAGAAGTGTCGCAAAATGATGGACGAAATGTGGGATAAGGCTCGAGCTATCGTCGATGAGCGAAGAGCCCGCGGAGACAAAAGAGACTGTTTTATTGATGCCAAAATCGACGAATATAATGAGAAAGGCTGGCCTCTATCGACACATGCTTTCAACAACCTTTTCGGAGAACTTCTTGAGGCAGGCGCAGATACAACTGCGAACCATATTCTAACACTAATTCTAGCCATGGCGAAATATCCCCACGTTCAACAACGCGCAAGAGCAGAGATCGACGCTCTTTGTGGGACTGACAGGGCACCATTATTTTCAGATTTCGACAAGCTACCGTATATTAACTGTATCGTCAAGGAGGGAATGAGATGGCGACCTACGTAAGTAATCAAATCCTATGGCCTTTGGCTGTCACAACCGAGAATAGAATGTGCTGACGGAGACAGAGCTCCTGCAGGTCTTCCTCATATGGTCACCCAAGGTCTATTATTCCCACCCATAGTGCCATGCTGGCAAGATACTGACAATTTCAGATGATGAGTACGAGGGAATGCTAATCCCTAAAGGCTCGATGGTTTTTGTGGGCATATGGGCCTTGCACCACAATGAATCGGATTTTCCAAATCACGACCATTTCAATCCAGACCGCTACCTTGACCATCCCAAGTTAGCAAACGAGTACGCAGTCAGCCCTGACTACAATAACCGAGATAAGTACTTCCCATGGTGACTTCTCATGGTAATACTAACTTGAGTTTGCACATCATTATGGCTACGGCGCTGGCAGAAGAATGTGCCCTGGCTTGCACTTGGCAGAAAGAAATATGTGGCGGATCGCGGCGAAGCTACTATGGGCATTTGATATCTCCGAACCAAAGGATCCTATTACTAGCGAGGTCATCCATCTCGACGAGAACGCATACACGTCGGCTATTCTGATGTGTCCATTACCTTTCAAGGTCGATATCACGCCGAGAAGTGCGGATCATCTGGCATGTATTGAGCGGGAACTGTCGAGCGCAATGAGCTTCATGTCCCAGTGGAACTAGCTCTCGCCCAGTAGCAAAGACATAAACAAGATTTCATACAAGACTGTCTTGTAATACGATGCCTCGTATTCAATGGTCGGAAGTAGGTCAGTACGATTTACAGAGGCTGGTGAGTCGGGTGACTAGCCTCAAGAGGTACTCGGTACAAACCAGAAGACAACCACTCCCCCTGTTGCCACAGATTGCAAATATTATAATGAAGGCTGGTGACTTGTACGGCCAGTTTCTTACCTGGAGTGGAATAGCTTTTGGTCAGCATTATAGGCGACCCAACCCACCAAGTCAAGTGAAGCCTATTTGCCTTCCATGATCTCATTAATATTGAATGGGCAGGGTATGGTCTTTTGGTCCAGTCCCAAGGGAGGTTTTGTCATACGATGTTGGTTCAGAACCAGAAGCGGGGCCCCAGAGGAGACCTGACTACCGCCAGTCTTACTACAGTTAGACTACTACAACAGAGTCCCTCCAGGAATTAGTCCATGAATCACCGATGGCCATAAAGATGCCCCGAACTCCTCAATGTCAACCCCTCGGAAATACACCAAGGAGAGCAGGCAGCTGACTGCGTGAGCTCTTTCCATCTTCTATCTCAACCCTATCACATTCGAAATCATACCGACGGTAAAGTGGTCAAATCAGGTCACAATAATGAATGTTCAAGTAAATGGGCGGAATACACGTTGCCCGCCAGGGCCGGTAAGGCCACCCCGCCTCGAGTTCGTAGCTTCATACCTTGCATCAGTAACCATGATGATCCACATTGCGACGAGTTGCGCTGCTCGAAGCTGACAGATATCAAATCGTCGTCCCGGAACACATAGCTGGATATTTGATTGCTTGTTCTATCCCCTTGTATACCACTTTCAAAACAGATCCCGTGTTCACCTGAGGCCAATAGGATAATCAAGCTGATACGATCATGTCTGTTCGAGGAAGAGTTGCAATTGTTACTGGCGCTGGCGGAGGCTTGGGTCGCCTTTACGCATTGGAATTGGCAAAGAGAGGGGCCAAGGTAGTCGTCAACGACTATGGCGGGACCCTAGATGGACAACCGGGAACAAGTGCTCGCGCACAAGCGGTGGTTGAAGAAATCAAAGCTGCTGGGGGCATTGCGATCGCAGATGGCCATGACGTTTCTTCCGTGGCTGCAGCCAAAGTAATTGTGGCCGACACCGTCAAGGAGTTTGGCACTGTCGACATTCTGATAAACAACGCTGGGATCGCTGGCAAAATGTCACCACATGATGACGTAGACGCCGGCGCTTTCATGAGAGTGCTTGAAATAGCAACTCTTGGGACGACATTGATGACCAGTGCATGCTACTCTTGGATGGCGAGGCAGAAGTATGGCCGAATCATCAATACCTCCTCGAACGCCATCTACGGGTTTGGCGCGGGAGGAGACTGTGCTTATAGTGCCTCGAAGGCTGCTGTATTTGCCATTACGCGAGAACTTGGTCGCTGGGCACCACGAGATGGCATCAAGATCAACTGCGTCATGCCATCGGCCGCCTCTAGGATGGGAGATCTGTCTGAGGGTACAAAAAAGGTTACAAGGACTTATTTCCAGCCGGAGGTAAGTCTACACCCTATCATGGCCGATGAAAACTCGCAGGATTTTACTAACATCGCTATAGGGGGTTGTTCCCTTCGTCATCAGCCTCGCCTCGGAAGAGTGCCCATCGTCGGGTGAGGTGTTCACAGCGAGCGCAAACAGGGCTGCCCGGGAAACACTCGCAACGTTCCCCGGGGTCAAATCCGAAACGGCAGAGGGATTTCTGGAGAATTGGGATAAAGTCATGGGTCGAGGTGAAGAACCGTATCTGGCGGAGGACACCCTGGATCATGTGAAATATGTCATCCGCCAGGCTCATGGCGTGGAGATGGAGGATATCGCGGACTTTAGCATCGTTTCTCGATAGAAAGAGAGAAATTCCGAGCTCGGAGGTTCCGTGTTCTCTTCTCCGCCTTCTACCAGAAGTGGATCTGTTAGCCTTTCAGTATTTCGACCTAGATTTTACGCTAGGACAAAGCTAAAGTCCCTGAGGCGACAGCGGAGGTAGGTAGGGACGTAGTCAAGGGGGTTTTCCCTTGGATGGCAGGCTTGACTTATGACTCGTTCATGGAGTCCCGTTGATGATTGACCCTAGAGTTCAAATCATATCATTGCCATAGTAGCTGTTATAATAGCTTCGCGCAGAGGACCGGATCTTGGTTGCAAAATACAAGGGCATTCATCATGGCTTTCCTCTCTGGCCCTCCCCGCGTGTTAAGGCTGACGCGCTTCGTTGACGGAACAATATTGTCGACTCGTCGCTGTTTTAGCATTTTTCAAGCCCGTCGAGGTACGTTCGAAAATCGGCCACCAGTCAGTGTTATTGTTGGTCCCGCTAACCTCGTTCTCAGCTTCTCAGAATGAGGCTACCTACGATGTTGTGGTTATCGGCTCCGGCTGTTCGGGCTTGACCACCGCCTTCGTCGCCGCAAAGCATGGTCTCAAGGTCATGGTCTTGGAGAAGACACAGTATTTTGGAGGCACAACAGCTTACTCCGGTGGCGGAGCATGGATACCGGTCAACAAGCACCAAGCAGCTATCGGTGTACAGGACTCGGCAGTTGAAGCAGATATGTATCTTCACGAGGTGCTGGGAGACCTCTACGACCCGAAGAAAGTGCCAATTTTCCTTAAATCAGCTCCGGAGATGGTGAAATGGATGGAGGACAACTCCGCCGTTCGCTTTAAGCCTGTTCCTTTGCCGGACTACCATGTCACGAAAAAAGGTGCCTCGGCAGGTCGCACGATCCTGACAGAAAAGTTTGATGGACGTCAACTGGGGCCATTGATCAGGCAGGTTCGCTATCCAATCCAGGGCTACTCGGCATTTGGTTCGATGCAAGCAGACCCAGAGGAGTTACCAGTCGTGACCAATCCCTTTGGTAGTATCACGAATCTGGTCAAGGTGACGAAGAAAATGCTTCGCTACGCCGCAGACCTGATTCGCTATGGCAAGGGAGCCGACATGGCCAATGGCAATGCACTTGTGGGACGGCTGTTGTTTTCTGTGCAGCAGCAAGGGGTGGACTTATGGAATAATGCGTCAGCCACAGACCCCGTGATCGAGAACGGGCGTGTCGCAGGTGTTCAAGTTCTCCGTCAAGGCCAAGAGACCACGGTATACGCTCGTAAGGGAGTGGTCCTTGCTAGTGGTGGCTTTGGCAGATCAGAGGAGGCTAAACAGTACGTCCCGCATGAATGGTGTGCATGCCCACGAGGCAATACAGGAGACGGCAAGCGGATTGGTGTTGCCAGCGGTGGTGCTCTACCGCCCAAGAACCCGTCGAATGCCATCTTTGCCCCTATCTCTCTCCTGCCTGTCCCGAATGGTCCGGTACGCCGCTTTCCACATTTCGCGATCGATCGATCTAAGCCTGGGTCCATCATTGTTGGGCCTGACGGTCGACGGTTTGCAAACGAGTCGGAGCCTTACCAGGAGTTTGTCAGTGCCATGCACCAGAAGGGCATCCAGAAAGCGTACTACATCGGCGACCGCACACATCTTCGCAAATACGGTATGGGAATGGCATTGCCATGGCCCTACCCAATTTGGAAGTTACTGAGACAAGGCTATCTGATCTCAGCGCCCACGATTCCCGCACTCGCGGAGAAGATCGGTGTCCCCACCCAAGCGTTAATGCAGACGGTTTCTGAGTATAATGACTTCGCTACGACAGGGGTTGATACACAGTACCATCGAGGCGAGACCGCGTACGACCGCTTCTACGGCGACCCGCAGGTTCAACCAAATCCTAATATTCAACCATGCGCGACTGGTCCGTTCTATGCGCTCCCGCTATACCCCGGCAATGTCAGCACTCTGTATGGGTTGATAACAAACAATGATGCCCAAGTGCTAGACCAGAGCGGCCAAACTATCAAGGGACTATACGCAGTCGGTTGTGATCAAAATAGTGTCTTTAAGGGGGCTTACCCGGGAGGAGGCTCCAGCATTGGACCGGGAATGACATTTGGCTACCGAGCAGGGAGAAGACTGGCTCAAGATGCTCCAGAGGCCTTCTAGCACATTCCTACAAGTGACGTCTCTTTACAAACGATAGATATATGCCGGAGTCAACGTCTTCATTCCGTTCGTTCCGGCGAGAAACTCGAAACGAAGTTAGGTGTTGAGCTACTTGCTTCATGTTTAGGAAAATGATATCCGAGAATGACGGACAGGGGGTCATCAGTCCAGCATAAGCTTCGGAAGTGTGACTCCCACAGACATGCGCAAGACGTGTTATTGCAGAGCTACATGTCGAATACTACGTGGATAACCATGTGGGGATAGCATGTGTCGGTTTATGATGAAAAGGCAGTAGCCTACGAAACTCCTGCATGCATCTATTTAGCATCCCTGGATCAATTTCGGGGACTCACGCCCCAGGAAATTCTGTCCGTACAAAAGTTGCGTGACCACTCCGAAGGAGTACGGGACCCTTCTAGCGTCCTGGCCAGCTTCGTGCTCTCCCAGCCATCACGGAGAAACCCCCAGTCCACATGCCCCATGAGGCTGCTAACGTAGCCTCGGCCTATCTTTGATTAACTTGATTGTCCCAGCCAATGATCTCGAGTCAAGATCGCCGTTCCATTCTTGATGGGAAAGAATACCCCCGCATCCAAGCTGGATAACATGTGGACGCGCCCATCTGTAAAGTTGAAGATGGACAGTCAAGGCTGGTGGTGAAGGTAACGAACAATATGGCAAGTCTACGTTGCCCGCGTTTTGATCGAGTCCCTCTTGTCAGGCCTACTGGCTTAGCACTTCTCTTCAAATATCCAGAGCTGCCTTGTAATGGTGTCCCTTCTCGCTCGATATGTACCTCACGCGGAGCCCTCCTACCACACTCGAACAGGCAAAATACAGCTAACAAGAACCCCAGAGCCCGTATGAAGGCGAGCAGTCCTTTTGGTACCAATAATCTGTCAACCCATAGTATACGGCGGATTTCTTCGTCGGCGCAAAATCCCAGGGACTCTTCGATCGACACTGAGTTCCTGGTTGTCGGTGCGGGTCCTGCAGGCGCGGCTCTGGCATCGTTCTTGACGAGCTATGGTATAGTGGTTCCTTCTCCGCCCATGAGCAACTACGATGCTGACTTGGATAGGGCTGAAAGGTGTCATGATCAGCAATGCTCCGGGGACAGCCAACACTCCTCGCGCCCACATCACGAACATGGCTGCACTAGGTACGTGCCGAAAACCAAGGTTGAAGAGTGGTGATGGCTGAGTTAGGTTAAGAGTGTCTCAGAGACATCGGGCTCGACAAAGACCTGGAGAATCTCTCGTCGAAAGGGGACTGCATGATTCATACCCGATGGTGCCATAGTATGGCTGGCGAGGAATACGCTCGGATTTACTCGTGGGGCAATGATCCTGCAAGAAAGGTTGGTTGTGTACATGGCATGCATGTCCAATTCTCTAAATTCTGTGACATCTCAGGGAGATTATGAAGGCGCCAGTCCATGCTCACCGGTAGATCTACCCCAGACACTTCTTGAGCCAGTGCTCGTGCGCCACGCCACCCTTGGAGGTTTCAAGACGAGATTCGATACGACGTTACTCTCCTTTGAGACTGACCCTGCAAGCGGGATGATCACGGCTAACGTGCGAGATAATCTCTCTTCCTTGGAATATCAAATCCGAACCAAATACCTCTTAGGGGCTGACGGAGCACGCAGCCAAGTGGTGAAACAACTCGACCTTCCACTCTCGGTCAAACCAGGTCAAGGTATGGCAATCAATGTGTTGGTCAAGGCAGATCTGTCCCACTTGGTCAAGCATCGACGAGGAAACTTGCATTGGGTCATGCAGCCTGACAAGGAGCATCCTGAGTTCGGCCAGATGGGGATTGTACGCATGGTCAAGCCATGGAATGAGTGGATGTTTATCTTACTACCGACTCGGGACTGTGACCCTCAGATCTCACCCTCCAAGGAGGAATACCTCCAGAGAGTGAGGGATTTCATCGGTGACGAGACCCCGGCCGAGATTATTGACATCTCTAAGTGGTTCATCAACGAGATTGTTGCAGTCAAATACTCTGAGGGAAACGTGTGAGTCCAGCTTCAACTAGTTGATTCCCCTGGATCTCGATAACTGTTGTTTGACAATTTCACAAACAGGTTCTGTCTCGGAGACGCAGTCCACCGTCACCCTCCCTTCAATGGGTTAGGTTCCAACACATGTATTCAAGATGCGTTCAATCTAGCCTGGAAGCTTGCGTACGTCCATCGCGGCCTCGCCGATCCTTCATTGCTCTCAACGTATAGTATCGAGAGACAACCTGTCGGCCATCAGATCATCACGCGGGCGAACAACGGGTTTCGTGACCATTTCAAGATCTGGGAGGCGCTGGGGGCGCTCCATCCAGATGTGGAGGGTCGAAAGGCGATCCTCAACGAACTAAGTGCTCCCACCACAGCTGGGAGTGAACGCCGGCATCAGCTGCAGGATGCCATCACGAACTCATGCCACGAATTTCACGGGCTCGGTGTGGAAATGAACCAAACATATAGCGGTCCGGGCGTGTACGCCGCGGACGAAGCGGAGCCCTTTAGGCATTCCGGGCGCGCCGCCGAAGACCCCATCCTCTACTACGAAAAGAGTACTTATCCTGGATGTCGTCTGCCACATGTATGGCTCAATAAAACCATCCCATCGGAACCCGTGTCGACCGTCGATCTCGCCGGGCATGGCGCTTTCACTCTTTTCACGGGCCCTGGAGGAGAGCACTGGTACGAAGCTGCCAAATGTGTCTCTGATAAGCTCGGAATTCCCATTGCGGTGCATTCCATTGGATTTCGACAACAATGGGAGGACGTCTACTATGACTGGGAGCGGGTGCGCGGTGTTGGAGACTCAGGGGTTGTCTTGGTTCGACCTGATCGCTTCGTTGCTTGGAGAGCTCCAGCCGTCTTCGAAGGTCAAGACGCATGTGAGCGAAAACTCTCAGATGTGTTGGGTTCAATACTTGGCCGCAAAGCTGCCTGAGCCCTCAGAGATTGACACTTTGATTTCCTGTTGATAAGACAGTTTAGGCTATCGTTGAGTTTGGAGCCGTGGCTGATATTTCAATGTTGTATGCTCATAATTTGATACATGCCATATATATCCAAGCTGGTTCATGACCAGGGGTCCAATTCCTGATCCCGATTACTTGCCCTCCATGTAAGTATCAATGCGGTACTTCAACCATAGTGTTCTCCATACCCGGTCCTCGCCCTCGTAAAATCCGTGCAGATCTCAGTTGATACTAGCCACCAATGCGCTATCATGCAGTATACCCGTGAGAGAGGCCCGCCATCACATCTGATGAATACCACACAAGATTGTCCAGAAATAAATCGTTTGGCCAGGGATCCGGGTATGCTTCCGAGAAAGTCCCTTGACTTAACGAAGAGTCAAACTTCGTGCCCATACCAGATGGCAGTTCCACGTCGTCAGGCATTAGCACAGGGTAGCCGGCGTTTGGATCACTAATTGATGGCTGAGATGTGTTGCACAAAGAGCCCTTCAATGCTGACCAGGTGGGGAGAAGTTGTTCCTCTGACACAGAAGCCATCATGGTTTCCGTGCTTGCGAAAGAAGGGGTGTCACCATGACACTGTTGATCATCAATCTGAGTAGTCCTGGCGCTGCTATCCTGTAGGTCGAGTTCTCTGTGTCGGCAATCGAGTCTTGCTTCGAGAGAATCGAGATTTTGCAGCAGGGCACTTGGTGTGTCCCAAAACTGATTGAATTGAAGATATGACCGGCGCAGGAGGTCATACTGACGTTGTGTAACAGTCGAGTCATGATCGCGCAAGGTAAATCTCTTGAATACTTGTAATGCTGCAGCGATCCACGTAGTACTGGCGTAATAGGGGTTCACATAACGAACATGGTCTTCGGGACAATTTGATAGGAGCCGCAGGACCATGTCGCTTGTTTCCAGATAGTTTTTGAACCCTTTGCCGAGTAGAGACCTTTCGTTGGATGTAGTATCTCTGCCTGATTCTTCGTGGCCAGCTTGGGAAGACGACAGGGGGCTCAGCCCTTCGATGATATCCGCAAAAACATAATTCTGATAAATCATAAAGCATGCCGAGGCGCTCATCATTTGCACAGAGTATTTGCCTGCGCTCGTTCGAAGCGTTGAATAAGGATCATCCCCATCAGTCAAGGCAAAAGATAGGTGTTCATCCCGATAGGCCAGCATGCTGGGAAGGTTCTCTCTTACATCCTGATATGCTTTGACGAGACTGTAAAGCCGATCCGAGAATCCTTGTGTTTTGAGTCTGTAGGCCTGACTGTAATACTGTGCAAGTCGTGGAACATCGTTTGGCAGGTCAATATTCGAGGTGATTCCTTTGATGCTTTCCTGGCACAGTAGCCGCCCATCATGCATCAGAGACCCCAGGAGATGTGCCCATGCAGTGGAGCTTTCATTCCCCGATTGCTTGAGTCTCTTCCACCGTTCTTGGGGACTGCCAAGCAGGAGGCAGGAGGCCTGATAGGTGTTTGTAAACCAGTATTCGTCGGCAACTGGAAGGAATGTTTCGTTTGCGCTCCAATCAATGGCAGTAGGTGCACGCTGGATTGTCGAGGAAAAGATATCCATTTCCCATAAAGCCCACCAGCAACGACGCCGCTCTTCGTCCGAGGACCATATCATGAGTTCGCTATCGCGGGTGGGCTCTTTCTCATATCCTTTGGAATCGATCAAGTGTAGTCGCAGCTCGTATGCAATACGCACCCCGGTACCAACCAGCCTCCAAGCCGGCCCGTATACTCCATTGACGAGCTTATAGAAACCCGCTAATGTGATGGCTTGGAGCAGGCACAGAGGGGGAGCGTGACTAGTGCAAGCTTCCAAGGATGAGTTGATGTACTGTAGAGAGAGTGTGTGGAGTTCTTGATGAGAAATTCCCAGAGCGTCCTCGCCTGGAGGGAGGTTGTCCTCCGTGGCCAACCTGGAGGAGAGAGAAAACATTGCTGCGAAAAGAGCAATGAGATGATTTCGATCTTGTATGCCACGGATCTTATCTGGAAAGGAGGGTTGGTGAAATATAGACAGGGACTTCAATCCCGCCACCATCTCAAAAAAGAGATCAATGCTATAGTAAGCCCCAGGAGGTCAGCTCAACTCATACACGACCAAGCAGCCATTTGGTCGGGGTGTGAAGACGAGGGGAAGGGCCTTGCTTACCATGACTGGGCTTGCTTGATGGACATACGAAGCACTTCGCACGCCTTCGCCAAGTTCTCTTGGGCTCCTGCAAGAACTAACAAAAATCCGGGTTGGGAGCGTTCTTTCTGTGCAGGGGCCGGGCCAAGAGAAGGTTCATGGGAGGGGTACAGGATTCTAGAGAGACTGATAGCTTTTGCAAAGTTCAAGACTGCCACATGGGAGGCTCTGATGCTGGGGGGAGACTCTGAGGAGGCATTGATGGCAAAATCTTCTGGTGATGAAAGTATACCGTCGCCTTCACCTGCAAAAGTTGTATGGCTACCGCCACTGGGTTGATGTTGGAGCGCACCATTCTGAGAAGCGTTTGAGAAGTGAGATTGAATGACTGCTTGCCCTGTCGGAGGGTATGATGATCGTGCGCAGCGACGACGATGGCTAGAGCCTTATTGATCGTAAGATGGCCAGTCCTCTCATGGCACATCAACATCCTACTCACCTAGTTTGGGTCCTGGTTTCAAGCGGGCGGTAGGATATGTACAGATGTTGGAGGTCTGTCGGCAGAACGAACATGATGGAATCTGTCGATCACTGTAGCACGGACGCGTTAGTAACGAGGTTTGATGGGGCGGCGGCGAGGTTGCTGACCATCTGGACTTTCTCCTACAAATCTCTAGTTAGTCGCTTCTCATTGGCACATGGTGAGCGTGAAGAAGAAGAATAGCCCGGGGCATCTACGGTTCCGCTATCGGTGCATCTTTCTCAACATTGAGCTTCTCTCCGGGGTATTCGCGCAGAAACCGGGGCGCACCACTTACTTTTTGCACAAATCACATGCCAGAGCCGACCTCGCGGAAGCACGGGTTTTGTTGTCCATAGCAGCCATGGGATCAAATCGATGGGCAAAGATATCGTAGACAAACATACAACGTGGGATCGCAAGACTGATGTTACAACGGCAATGAGAAGGCTAGGTAGGTGAGATTCAGAAAATACAGACCTTGCTCACCTTGGCACCTCTCCAGACTCTCTGGATCCCCGGCTTTACCCCACTTCGCTACCAGGTAGGCCACAGTCCCCCGTACCGATTCCGGAACCACATGGAAAGTATCATACTTTTATTGGTAGATGGAGACTGCCACTCAGGAAAGGCTAGTATCTACGGCCAAATTATCATTGGCTCACACCATTCCTTGGAGCGGGGCAATTGGCTCGGACTAGCCTGGATATATCGAAAAAGTGAATGAATCTTGGATCTTGACTCCGCTGTGGCGGGATGAAAAATCTTGAGTTCTGATGAGTAATTACGTGCAGGGCGATGGGGCTCACCCAGGGCTTGGGTTTATTCTATCTTCTGGGTTCAACATGGATAGCACCATCGTCGTGATCGTAAAAAGCATTCAGGTGCGGAGGATATCCTGGCTTGACCAGTGGAAATCTGACGGCTGGCGAGATCGACTGAGATAGCTATTTGCTGTAAGCTTTCTCAGATAGTCGTGTGATGAGGATCAGAACTGTACCACTTGGTCCAGCAAGGTCAGTACCCTCTAGCAAAGATGCACCGGTGGTGATGGTTGTGGTCGAATACTTTGTCTCCTCCTTTACTTCCGCAAGGGCTGATCCACAACCACCGCCATGTTGACACAACCTAATTTAGCCACAGCGCAACAGTGGCGAAGTTGGAGAACTTGGCACGACATGTTTCTGGCCTTTTCAGCTTGTGTGGCTGCGATGACGGGCGGCGTTTGGGAAGCTAGGGCACGACTGGCCGCGTCACTACTGATTCATTCTCATGAGTCTGTACGTTCTTCGAGCAGCCAAAACATCTCACATTCGCCTTTGTCATACTGACGAGTACAATCTGAGGCCGCCTCTTGTCGACAATGACCTTTTTAGGAGTTCTACTTAATGCAAGCTACACTTGTTCATTTCTTTTATGACAACGGCTCATTTTTCATCGCACCAGCAACTGCACCCTCAAAACTTATCCACACCATGAGGTGACAAAGGAGACAGAATCTTTCGTTCACAGCTCATTCGCCTCTTGCTTCCTTACAGTGCACTTTGTGGCCACATAGAGCCATCTACTACCAAACTGTGCACAATCTCCCATGGGCAACTTCAAGTTCGAATTCATCCACTTCCTGCCTTACCACTACTCCTGGACTTCGCGGTGGTGACATGGTCACTTTCTACCGTGGCTCGGTGTGGCTTCCTCAATCTGCGTTGTGATAGATTTCTCATCGAAGTCGGCCATGGCGTCCACTTCAACCAGGCCATTGCCATCTTGGGCAAAGTGGGTCACAACTTCATCCCCAAACAGCTTGCCTATTTCCTCCAGGGTCAAGTTGCCTGTCTCTGGTAGCCATTTGTACAGCATAGCGAAGCACACAACGTCACAGGAGATGAAGACCAGGTAGAACTTCCAACCAATATTTGCAAAGGCCTTGGGTGCAGGAGCTGTGTACAATACCGTCGAGACAAAGTATGTGAACAGGGCAATGGTGAGACCCTTGGCTCGAATGGTGGTTGGAAATGCCTCGGAGCACCACTGAAAGGTTTGATCAGCAACAGTCCTGCCTCTACGTGAGGGAACGCCACTTACCACGAACTGAGTTGGATCGAGGAACAGTCCCAGTCCCAGTCCAAACATCATAAAGAAAAACATTGCAGCACCGTTGCCAGCCTTGTGCGAGGTACCCGCATACTTCCAGCTGAGAAGAGCGGCAGCAAGGAGACATGATCCGGTCCACACAATGCCGACGACTGTTCGCAGCACTCGTTAGCCGACGGCTCTCACCGTCTCTGGAATCCAACTCTGCAAGATGTACTTACGCAGCATTCTTCTCCGCCCAACCCGATCAATGACAGCAGCGTTAACAAAGTTGAAAAAGACGGCAATGACAACATAAATGGCGTACATCAGGAGAGGCATCGCACCCGTCATTCCTGCCGATTGAGCGACGAGAACAAGGTAGGAGGTGATGCCGTTATAGCCAGATGATTGCACGGCAAACATGATCAAGATGGCCAAGAGAGTGCGCTTCCTCCATGACGGAACGGTGAACATGCGGACAAATGAAGCTTTCATCTCCTTGTCATGTGCCACTTGTCTCTTGATTTGGATGAATTCCGCGTGTGCGGCTGCATCTCGCGGGTCATTGGGGTCGTGATGCACTTTCTGAATTGTTTTCCATGCCTCTGCATCGTGGCCTACCCAAACCGACCATCTGGGAGATTCAGGGATCCAGTAGCAGACAATCACCAGCCCCAGAGGAGCCAGTGGAGCCAGACAAAGAGGCATACGCCATTGAACTGTGTTGTTTGTGGTAAAGTACGTGCCGTAACCAATCCACGCGGAGCTGCAGAGAAAATCAGAAGAGAATTCCACACTTCCATCGGCGAGGTTCAATACCTGAGATAACCCAAAGAGAATCCAACCCCAACAAGTGCACTGAGAAGGCCTCGACGATGGGGTGGTGCGACCTCTGCCACGTACAACGGGACCAGAGCCAGCAGTTGGCCTACTCCTAGGCCAGTGATGAATCGAAAGACGAATAACATGGGGATGTTGATAGAGCCGGCCACAACTGCAGAGCCAACCACTGAGATGGCGCCGCCGAAGGCGAGGGCTTTTCGACGGCCATACTTGTCACTTGTGTAGGATTGTATTATGGCTCCAAAAGCAGCTCCAGCACAGAAGAGCCCACTGATGGCTCCGATCAAAGTAGCAGTGTAGTCCGAGGTTGCTACAGGCACAGATTAGCTAAGCACGACAGGGATGCAGTCCGTATCAACCCACGGTCCAATTCAAAATAACTGAAAAACCCGGGTTCTCCGATGGAAGTGACAAAGACAGCATACGAAAAGCCGTAAGAGTATGCGCCAAGGCAAGCAGCACAGACAATCAAAATATTATACCGCGTGAGTCGCAACATCTTGTCAACCAATGTTACAGCTTGGGTGTGAGGTTGGAAAGTACGCATCCGCCGTCAAACTGGCCCCATGGATAGAAGTCTCATCTTTAAATGGATTTGGTCTCCTGTCTTGACACTCCCCAGTCTTAGACGGAGTATATCTGAGGCTGAGGTCGGGGGCTCCTCCAGCCTTGGAGATCCACCGACAGGACCGTGGGGTCCCCAATTCGGGAACGAGCCATTCTACAACGGGACGCCCAGTACTGGCAATCTGAGCGATGATGGGCCGAAACAAGACAATCTGGAGGTGCTTAGCGATTCGCTTGTGGCCAAGCTACGTTGTATACAGCTTTGAGGGAAAAGAGGCCCACCCCCGTCACTTGTTACGCTTGGAGTCGGACTGTGGAAGTGCACAGACATCTTGCCCACGGGCTGACAACGGGCAGATAACGGCTTCGTCCTCTTGCCATACTGCTTACTACCGCTCCGGCGGTCGATATGTGCATGAAGATCTTTAACGAGTATGATTAAGGTCTGTTCAGCTCATTGAAAGTCTACTTTCCCTGGTTGACCCGTTCTCCGCCAGGGCTGAGCACTCTAGATGGGCCACTGTCAACATGACCATGATCAACAGCTGTACTCAGGAGACTGGAAATTATATCCTCCTGAAAGAACCTCGGAAAACCTCGGTGATATGTGCTGATCGTGACTGGATAAAAGGTGATGATTGACAAATGTTGTTTTGGTATTCACTTAACAGGTCTTTTTCACGTGTGTGGATTCCTAGTAGCATCTGGCGGTAGATACACGGTCGGATAGCCTCTGGTCACTGGAGAGCTCCTGAACCAGCGGAGAAGGTCATTCAGAATGTAGACGTGAATTGCACATTATTCACCGTCAGTGCTACGAAGCTCGGATATCACTTCGGTCGTCGATTCTAAATAGTATTTTCATTTGCTTGACACCAAGAGATGTTTGAGTATCTACGTCTTATCAAGGGCTCCAGTGGTAGACCACTCCCCTACATTCAAGATAGTAGTCATGTGACATAACGAAAGTATAGTTTATTTGCTATCCCTAAGTTTTCCCTATTGCACACTCATTCAGCGGTCGTACAACTCCGGCCTCAATCCCAAATCCCGGAGGATCTCCAGATCGCTGTTCTTTAGCCCGTTCAGCTGTACTGTTTCAAAAAGTCCAGTGCGTCCGACATCTCTTGTTGAATTCGCTGAACATGTTTCTCACTTCGGGGTTTGATAGCGATCTTAAAAGGCAAAGGCGCCTGAAGAATACCTGGGTTATACGCATCGGGATCCAAGGGCGCCTTAACTCCAGTCCGAGGATCTACATACTCGGAGAACTCAAAGGCCCAGAGGAGTTTTGCTGCGATACGCCACATATTGCGCTCGGCAAGATGCATGCCTGGGCAGACACGTCGACCCGCACCATAGTTATAATGATGTAAAGATACAGTTAGTCTCTCAAGGTCGTTACGCAGGGGGAGATGAACTTATCTCGGTTTGCCCAGTCAGGACTTCCAGCATAGTCGCTAGCTAGCTTGTGGTGATGGAGATATCTATCTGGGTTGAAGGCTTCCGGATCAGGGTAGATTTCGGGAGAGTGATGGATGGCCCATGTGGGGAGGAAGACGGTCGAATCTTTGGGGATCAGCATGCCCTCGTAAACGTCGTCTGTTACTGTGTCAGCTACGGACCCGCACCTCCTTCAGTATCGACTGGATCACGAACCTTCCCGTGCCCTGTGAGGTAGTGCTGAGACAGCCCTGTGAGAGATAGGTCAGTCAAAGTGTGCCAGCGAGGATCAACGGGCAAACGTACACTGGGCGCCATCTCATGCCTTCCTTCACAATACAGTTGATGTACGGTAGTCGGTCAAAGTCGGACCAGAGGGGAGCTCTCTCAGTACCACAAACAGCATCAATTTCTCTTCGTGCCTTTTCCTGGACTTCCGGGTAGAGACCAAAAGCGAGGACCAAGGTAAGAAGCTGAGCTGCCGTTGTATCTGCACCGCCTTCGACCAGCTCACCCATCAGGTTGTCGAAGCCATGCTTGGAGAATGGCATTCCCTTCTTTTCGTACTCGTCCAGGAGAGTGTCGATGATGCAATTTCGTCGCTCACCCTTAGCCCGTCTCTCGTCGATCCGGCGGCGTGCCTCACCCCAAACACTATCCATCACAGAACCAGCCTCGACAGCCCGGCGCTTCCAGAATGCCATCGACATGGGTATATACCGGAGAAATTTGAATTCATCCACCGGAGGGTTAGCCCCGGGTTCCATGGCAGCCGTCCACTAAGTAAAAGGTTAGAGATGACCTCGACAATGATGCCAGGATTGCTGCTTTACCTTGTCCATCACGTCATAGACCCCCTGTAAAGTACCGTTAGTAGACACACTCGAAAACGTATCATGTCACCTACTTTGGCCCAGAATGAGTCTGGAGTTTCGCCGCGATACCCATACGTGATTGAGCTCACTACAGACGCCGTGTATCTCCTGATCTGCCTGTAGAAGTCTTCCGGGGTTGTCAGGAGGTTGTTCATGAGAATCGTAGCCCTGAGAATGCGAGTTAGTCTTGGGTCAACTTCCCAGCAAGGGGAAATCTGATTACTCTGCTTCCTGAACTCGGAAATGCTTCTCGTCCAATGGCTTAGGTGAGAAATTGTGCGCGATGACCTTTCTCTTTTCTCTCCAGAGAGGATCCATCTGCGACACCGCCAGGTGATCGCCCTTGGTCAGAAGCTGGCCAACATAAGTCTCTGGACGGTCCGAGTAAATGGCGCCTTTCTCGACGAGAAGCTTATGGATCGCCTTTCGATCGCACAGAACAACGACATTCGAAGGTCCAAGTTTGAGGCTGAAGATTGGTCCGTATTCCTTGGCCCACTCTCGAAACTGCTTGTAGAGGCCGGTGCGAGGAATCTGGTGAGCATTTCCTAGAATTGGAACCGTGGGCGGACCTGGGGGCATTCGAGGGTCGCGTTTGCCGACCTGCAAGAGACGATAGATAGCGAGAACGACGACGGCGACCGCCGCCCATAGGTAAGGCTTCGACCAGATTGGTGTGTCTGCCATTGTGATCTTGTTGAGCTCGAAACCCAAGTTGGAGGAAGTGTTGGCTGCGTTAAGAGAGATCCAAGTCAGTGTCAAATTTCTTCGCTGGCAGTAATAGTAACGCTGCTAAGGATCTGCCTCGCACATCACCAACACCATAACTGCTGTCACATCTGGAGGCCCCGAGGGGGCTACTCCGAGCCACTCTCCGACTTGCCATAGGAGACCCGGTATGAAAGGAATGAGGTTCGTTCTCGGGCGATTTGGCCATCTCATCAAGTTAACCCGGCCAAGTAATCGGGGTAATTTCTATTGGTTTGCTCCACCTTTGGACGCTGTAGCCGAAGTAATTGTCTCCACCGATTGAAATTCAGCGGGGAAAGCGAATGGCGGGGGAGGATGATTTGGTCTTGCTGATCAAATGCTGAAGACATGCTGCATCTATCAGGTAACCTTGCCGCCAGGACGGTTGGTAAGCCACTCAAATATATCGACGGGAAGTTGGATTTGACATTGGTCCGTGCTATCATTCATCAGCTAGGGGGCTGTGGACGACCACAGAGGGCCGGCAGAGAGTCGACACCGTTGTACATAGATTCCGGCTTAACAAAGGTAACCGCGGAGTTCTCTCAGACCTCAATGTAAATCTTGTGCTGCGACTGATCTCTATGTTTGGAGTACGTGATTCTTCTCTATGCACGGCTGGCAGGCTAGCATAACAAACCTCCATCCACTACTACCGTCGCTCCAGTCATATAGCTGGACTCGTCGCTCAGTAAGAAAGCGAACGCCTTCGCGGCCTCATCTGCTTCACCCATTCGCTTCAGTGGCACTCGGGCGAAAACTGAAGACATATTGGCCTTGTCTAACCCACCAATAGCTGTCACCATCGGTGTTTTGATGGTACCACTGTAGGATTTAGCCAATGCCGAATGGTGGGGGGTGAAATCGAACTCACGGAGCCACGCAATTCACTCGTATACCTTGTTCGCCAAACTCCCCCGCAGCACTCTTGGTCAAGCCGATCACAGCATGCTTTGTTGCCGAGTAGACAGAATTTTTGGGATGGCCCTCCAAACCAGTCGAGCTTGACGCATTAACTATACTTCCCCCTGTGGACATGACTCTCAATTCAGCCCGTAGGCAATTGAATAGGCCCTTGAAGTTGACAGCGGTGATGAATTCGAACTCCTGGTCGTCGATCTCTGTCAAGCTACCTGTGCCAAAGGACTCCCCCAAAACTCCAGCAACGTTGGCAGCGCCGTCTAGTCGCCCAAAGTGCTTCACGGTTGCGTCGATCCAGCTGTCAACCTCTTCGCTCTTTCTGATGTCAATGGCGAGGGTCAAGACGTTGGTGTTGTCGGGACGTTGGTTCGATCCTGTAATCTGTGATAAGGCCTCGTCTAAGCGATCTTTTCGAATGTCTGCGAGCGACAACAGAGCCCCTCTAGAGTACAGGAGCTTAGCAGTTGCCAGTCCCATCCCTGACGCAGCGCCAGTGACAGCCACGACCTTTCCAGTGAAGGATGTCATTTCGACACGGTGGTAGCGTTGAATTGGGGTCTCCTGGTCGGTGTTAAATGCTGGAGTGCTCTCTATATTTAAACGCTCAGAGGGCCAGGAACACCAAGCAGCCAACAACAATCATCACGAACCCCTGGCGGGATGCCGAAGCACGGTCGGACTGAGGTAAGATCATCCGAGAGATGAAGGTTGAACGGTGTGATTCCGCTGAAGTCTGAGTATTCGGCAGTACTTTCTACATCACCTCCCCTCTACATGGGTGTGTCTTTTGACTTCCGCTGTCTCGCACGGACAGGTGCATGCGCGTAGGCACTCAATAGGCGCTCCAGATGACATATTCCCTTCTTTATCCCCAGCCATGGAATTTCCCAGGCCTCTTCCTCGAGCGCTAGTCACACAAACAGCATTTTCTCCCTTCATTTAATACCCGGAGACGTGCTTGGGCTGGTACGGCGCCTCTAAGTAGCTAATTTCCTCATCAGAAAGCTTCAGACTCATTGCTTCAATGGCCTGGTCAATTCTTTCTTTGGACGAAAGCCCGAGTATAGGATTTGCACCCTTACTCAATACCCAAGCTGTTGCCACTGCTGCCATTGGAACACCTCTTTTCTTTGCCACCTGTTCAACACGATCGACCACAGCCTTGTCCGTTTCGTTCTCTTTACTGATCAGCGCGGAGAGGTAGGCGTCAGTCTCTTCGCGGACAGTCTTTGCAGACTTCCAAGGCCGTGCAAGCACACCCCGAGCCACCGGAGACCAAGGAATGATTCCCACGCCCGTAGCTTTACAGTATGGGATCATCTCCCGCTCTTCTTCTCGGTAAAGCAGGTTTAGGTAATTTTGCATACTAATGAAGCGATGCCAACCACGCCTTTCAGCAATATTCTGCATGCGCTGGAACTCCCACGCCGCCATCTGCTTTGGAGTTAGAAAGTAACCTGCGCAGCGCGAGCTAGGAAAGACGAACGCTGCTTGCGCCGATATATCTCACTTTGCCTGACTGCACCACATCATTCAGCGCGCTCATGATCTCTTCCATTTCGGTGTCTCGGTCCAATCTGTGAATCTGGAGGATGTCGATGTACGTGCCTAGGCGTTCCACGCTTGCATCGACCGCATCGAGAATGTGCTTGCGGCTGAGGCCGACGCGGTTCACCATGGCCCCGTCATTGATAGTACATTCCGTCAGAGGTAGCTGACTACCATCGTGGCTCACGCCGAAGTAGCACTTTGTCAAGATTGTAACATTCTGCCGCGGGATGTTGAACGTCCGAAGCGCTTTGCCTATGATTCTTTCGCTCTCTCCATGAGAGTAGAAGTCGGCCTGCATCGCAAGGTGAGCAAGTCTCTCTTTCTAATGCTACCATCCGTCAGCGAGCGGGCCTACCGTATCCCATGTGTTTATGCCGCTTTTATATGCATGTTCTAGGATGGGGAGAGATTCATCCTCATCCAGCACCCATTTTTCCCATGTTGGACTGCCAAATGACATGGCTCCGAGAATAATTTTCGAGATTTTTAGACCTGAGGTCCCAAGTCTATGTTATTGGCGAGTTAGTCATTGGTGCTCAGTACGATGAGATCCACTACAAACCTGGTATATTCCATCTTGCTTGTCATTGTTCGTAGCATGCTGATGAGCTTGAGCCAATCTATGTTAGGCCTGGCCATTCAATGAATTATAACTCTGGAGACAAATCTTTTGCAGACACCTCTTACAGGTACCATAACATGATTTACGCGATGCTCATCTCCCCGTGAGATCTAGATCAGCACTGACGCGTTTCGGCGCAATTGCACAAGTTTCAATCACCCGAGAACCACCCGTGCAGCACTTCCAGGCGCAAGGTATCTCACACTGAATACCACCTTGAGATTAACGGCCAAGGCGAGAATCGAAATAGTTCTGTTCGTAAGTACCCCGCCATCCAAATCAAGTCAGGCAGACTTTTGGGGGAATCCTTGTGGAGACTCGCATTTTTCATCCTCCCAGGGGGTGTTTGCCTTCCTGCTCCTCTGTCAAGGAGTGCGACGCGCTGAATATATCCTGAAGAAGCTTCAGCCATTCCCATGTTGGAGATGCTGACATGTACCGAAGATAGGCCGCGCAGGGTGTTGTATAGATATCTGGGATAAATCATCTTCAAGCTCTTCTCCATTCGAGCTACAATCAGTACAATCTTTTCAATTGCAACAACCCTCGAGACTTGTGAATGATGACGACGCCTTCCTTTCCTATTCAGCATGACTTTGCCCTGAAGCAGCTAACCCCAAACTCCAAGCCTAACTACCAACCGTACGTAAAGTTGAGCTTCTTCTTCCGGAAAAGACCCGACATCAGTCATGAGGATTTCCACAGACATTGGGAAACGGTGAGCTTGATCGATCTCCCAGCTAATACATGTGCTCCGTGCTCACTGCTTTGTGGCTCAAGGTGCATGCGGATTTGGCCGTGGCATCAAAGGCATTTGCGCTCAACATCAAACGATATACTCAAGTGAGTAGAGATTGACTTCCCAAAGCTGAAGCTTTTGACCGACTGGAAGATCAGTTCCATGCACTTCCTGAGTGCAAGGAAGCGGCAAAGACTCTAATCGAGGGAATGGAGCTGTTGGAATATGACGGTTGTAGTGAAATTTTGGTCTCATCTATTGAGGATGCCGCAGCGTTCTTTTCGAGCCCAGAATACGTCGAAAAGATGAACAGCAAGTCAATGCCCGGCTCACGTTAGTTCAATCCCTGACCGTCGATTACAGGTGACGAGGGCAACTGGCTTGCTAGACCAGTCCGCTTCATGATCGGATATGACAATTTGATCTTCGGTCTGGGTTTACCGATTCCAGAGGCCACAGACGGCATCCAGCCCAGGGACTTGGAGACGGCACTTAAACAAGAGTGAATAGATTACTGCAGTCTCTAATAAATGATCATGACTTTGTGGCAATGTTAGGTGACTTTATCAGTCCCCCAGACCTATGTACTTGTCGACCAGCTACACTCGTGGCTACTGGCTTGCGATACCTTTGAAAGCCTTGAGGGGATCGATGGTGCATGTGGGATCAGCCTTCATGGATGACATTTCAACCGGGAACGAAACATGCTCATGAACGAACTTCCAAGCTCCGTCAATCTTTGCAAGAATATACGTGATGCGGTATGTCATCTCGAACTTGTTACCGTCATCAGATGTGCCACCCACTAGGCGCTGCATCATGGTGATGTAGCCCGAGGTCTTGGACGTCGCCACAGGCTCAAGATCCTTCATTTCGAATCTCGAGTTGGAGAAATAGTGGAACGTCTGGTTGTAGTGCTCCAACATCCCGCCGCGAGGGGTGAAACCGTAGATATCGTATGTCATGGCGTCGTCAAAGTCGTAGAAAGGCCGCCCAGGCTCGATGGACTGATTAAAGAGCTTGTTCATCACGTGGGACCAGCCGCAGATGTGGTTCAAGATCTCCTGCTCTTCTGGATACAGCTCCGGCCTGTGCAGCTAAAGGGTTCGGTCAGAATAAAAAAGGCTCTATCTTGAGAGGAGGGAAAGAGTACTCTGCTGGGAGGAAATGTCATCTTCTTCAAGGCATCCTCGGGCGTCGAGTACGCCGTCTGTCTTTTTGTCAGAGCTGCGCCACCATTCCGTGGAGGATACTGTTACCTCGTCATACCATCCTTCGTTGGAGTTGTTGGCAGCCATTTTGATCGCGGATAACCTTCAACGCAGAATATGAATGTATCGAGCAATCGTCTTGTCCTTTGCCCTTGTGTGTTTATATGGGAATGACAGGAAGCGGGTGAATATGCCACTTCTGTGAATCCATGCTAATATTATATGTTTCTTACATAACAAGTCTTACGGGCTATTGGATATGTGAACTGTAAATGATGCTCCCGTTTGTTGTCCGTGAGGTCTGACCGTCCGAATGGCTCCCCACATTTGATATGTAAATCCCCCGCGACCCTGAAAGTCCCGTAGGGAGCGGTATACCACTGACCGTCAGGACCGCCCGATAACTTACCGCTGAATTCAACCGCTTGCAATAATCTGGTGGTGGGTGAGTGCAAGCATGATGACCTCAGAACGCACAGAGCCTTTGAGCGAGCCTTATACTTGTATCATGAATTACTTGCAATCCATTGAGCTAGTTCGGAAGTATTTATTCTCAGTGCTCCTTGCATTTTACTTCACTTTGTCACCGCTGAAGATCTTGGCGAGGTCAATCACCACAAGGATGTACGAAATCACTCTCTTTCATCTTGGCGTGGTAGCCATTGTCGTTGCCGGTCTTTTCAAGATATTGCGGATTGGCAGACGTGACCCTCGAATGCCACCAGGACCTCCAACCTTACCATTGCTCGGGAATCTACACCAGGTCCCCGTTACCGGACTCTACAAGCAGTGAGATCTCTGCCAAACATTCATACCTAATACTTGTCACTCACAACAAGTGTCCAGGTTCAAGGAGTGGAGTCTGCAGTATGGAGGAGTCTACTCCCTCAAGTTCGGCCCTCGAAATGTGATTGTTGTTTGTGACAAGAAGGCCATCCATGAGCTCTGGGACAAGAAAGGGTTAATATATGCTGAACGACCCAAGAATTATGTTGCCGATATCATCACTTCTGGCGACAGCATTGTGTTTGCCCCGAACACAGTAGAGACAAAGGAGAAGCGTCGGATCGCAACCCACAATTTCTCGGTGAGTGTGGGTTTGTCCAAAACCAAGTCATCGTGGTTTAACCCGGAGAAGCCTAGGATCTTAGATGAGAGTGCTGCAAAGGTGCAAGATGCCGAGTAAGTGCAAGACGGACAAAGTAACCGTGGCATCTCTGACCGCCAGTAGGGTCACTGTCTTGACCCATCAGCTTTTGACGGACCCCGAGAACTTCTACAACCATGTCCGACGGACTACTTCATCCATTGCATGTATTTTGATCTACGGGCATAGAGGCCCTACATTTGAGAACTTCTGGGGTCATGTGAGTCCCTGACACTGTACTTCGACCATACACCGACTAATCGATATAGGCTGTCTATGATGCTCTCAGCCTGGTAAGCCTCGGTGCCCTTCTCCTGGCGAAACTTTGACTGACTAACACGAATAGTTCGGAGAAGCCCTCGAGCCAGGGGCAAATCCCCCAGTCGACGAGTACCCCTTCCTGAAGTTAGTGCCAGAGCGATTTGCCTTCTGGAAGAGACGCGCACGGACGGCTGGAAAAGGCATGCACGACATTTGGACCAAAGCTCGACGCCTGGTTGACGAGCGCCGTGCTAGAGGCGACCATCGGGTGTCTCTTGCAGACAGACTCCTCGACGATTATAACAAGAAAGGCTTCCCTATGTCGCAACACGCCTTGGACCAGCTCTTCGGAGAGTTGGTAGAAGGGGGAGCCGAGACAACCTCGTCCTCCATGTTGACCATGATTCTAGCACTGGCCAAGAATCCATGGGTTCAAGAGAAGGCATATAAGCAAATGGTTGATGTCTGCGGAAGCGAACGGTGAGACTTCTGAGAGGCAGACTCTGTTAAACACGAAACTGACGTGAATGTAGGATGCCTGGGTGGTCGGACTTTTCCCGGCTGCCCTATGTGAACTCAATCGTAAAGGAGGGTATGAGATGGCGGCCGGCGTGAGTAGAATGTCTCATTCAGCCCCACGATATATCTGCTGATCCAAACCTAGTGTGGCAACGGGCCTCCCTCGTAGCACTGCCGAAGATGATTGGTATGAAGGCATGTTCATCCCCAAGGGCTCCACGGTCTTTCTTCCTATCTGGGCTGTCCACCACATGGAAAGAGAAGGATACGATGACCCGTTCAAATTCAATCCCGACCGATACATAAATCACCATAAATTGGCGAATGACTATGCAGGAAGCGCGGACTATAAACTGAGAGATAAGTTTACCTCCTCCCGTTGACGTGCTTTCAGCTAACATTGATGAACATCACTATGGATACGGGGCTGGCCGTCGAATGTGCCCTGGTGTCCACTTGGCCGAGCGCAATCAATGGCGAATCGTCGCGAAGCTGATCTGGGCTTTTGAAATTAAGGAACCTGTCGACCCTAGAACAGGTAAAGCTATATCTCTGGATCCAGAGGACTACTCTAACGGCCTCTTGCACGCACCAAATCCTTTCAGAGTTATCTTCAAGCCAAGGAGTGAGAAGCATGTTGCAGTAATCAAGCGCGAGTATGAGAAGTCGTTGAAGGATCTTGCACCATTTGAGTGAGATTGGGAGAGGTAGGATGTCAAGAGATTTAAGTAGCTCTCTCCCATGATACAAACTTCTGCAAGACCGAGTGCAGTATCGAGCACGTACGTTATCAACACAGGAATTTATCTATTTCTCTGTAACAAGAAAACCACAATCTTCACCGTAACCAGTCGGACGGAATGGCACTGTCTGATACACGGCACTCAGAATCAATCATTACCCAATGCCACTTAGGTCAGCGGCATATTTTGTCCTCTCCGAAGTCCATTTGTGTTTGCAGACCTGAGCATCCCGCCACGTAAGAAGGGTCATGACTAGCTTGAGCCGCGTAAGCACGGCCGTGAAGAATCAAAGTGAGCACTGAATCAGTCAATCAAGTAGTTTGTTAGAGACATCGAGGGTCACTATACAGTCAACCCCTTTCCTTCGAAACCAACCAAGTGTATGCGTTAGTGTCCTTTAACTTTTGTCACGTCATTCAGCTTCCATTTTGAGCCACTTGAATGATAGTGGCTGCCGCAGTAGTTCACGTTCGTAGCGTCCAAAAGCGGATTCAGGGAGTTGAAGTAGTTGTACAACTTGGTAACCTCGTCCGCAAACTTCTGGACCTTGTTGATTTCGTCGTTGACGACGATTTAGCAGAAACCCGAACAGTGTGTCAATGTTTGCGTGTATATTGACCCGCGGACTCTGTTGTCGGTAGATACTACGACTTTGTTCGGAAACAGGAACCTTCTGTCGAGACTATCAAGATGGTCTTTGGCCGCCATCGCGAAGGAGCCTAAAGTCGTGACACTGGGTCCGAACAGGTTGCTGTAGGAGGCAGAACTGCAGATCTCGACCACCTACTGGTGCCAGGGGTGATAGGAATTTCTGACTTGGTGGAAACTGGTCTTGTTTCCAGTGCCATAACCTGTCCGAGTTTGTACCTGTGGTGTTTCAAAAGACCCAGTGTCTGTTCCCTTGTACTTTTCAGTGCCATAAACGTCGTTTTGATTCTGTCTGCGGTGTCGGCCGGACGGCTTTCTGTCTTGACCAGCTTGGCACCGTCAGCATAGATGTCGCATCCTATCCAAGAAGCTCTTCAAGGGCTGCAATTGCTTGTTAAGAAGCGGGTCAAAGCCACCCAGCATACTTGCGAAGTGATAGCAAGACTTTCCTGGATCTGGATTCTACTTAGCCAAGTTGTTCTCAAGTCACTGGTATGCGATCCCGATACCTCCTAATCTGTCCTTTGCAAGTAGAACTTCAGCCGCAAGCGCTGGGCATGGGTCCACGTAGCGAATTGGTGCGACAGACTATCACTTTAAATTTTGGTGATGAGATCAGGTGGCTCGAAGCGCCAGTGTTGGCCATCGATACTTCTACGGGTTTTCCGAGAAAATGCTGGTTCCCATTTCAATAGCATATGGTTCTGTACACTGGTACTGTATTTCATTTCCTTGGTGGTCGGGCTGGTGCTAACATCAAACATGTTGCCAGGTCGCATGTGCTCTTAAGCATGCTGCGAGAGAGGGACTGTTCATATATATGCAGAAAGCGACAACCCCTCGAGGGACACTTTTCAGATCTTGATTTGGTGACAGGAGGGCGAGATGTAGACGAAGCTGCAGGGTGAATTGAAGGTGCAGAGGGGCAAGTACCTCATAGATGGTTTTAAAAGCAGCTCTTCCAGCCTATTCAGGTGATTCCCCACAATGCCAAGGTCAGATCGCATTGCCGACGAATATCAACAACTCTGCCACAACCTCCAGTCGAACAGGAGGATGCGGTGAGCGAAAGCCCGGGTTCGCAGGGTTTTTGTTTTCGTTGTCATTTTTCGCAGGGAAGGCAGGAGGAAGTAGATTAGGTAGGGAGGTCAGTGATACTGACTGTATGCCCCTTGTACCTGTCTTTCTGTCGTTCGAAGGAGGAGGGTTGTCGACAATTCGTCGCCAGCACGCCTGCAAGCCGATGCTAGTTTGACCAGTCCTGACGAGGAATTGTGGAAGGAAATCTGTTGATTTAATATATATATATATATAATAATTTTAATTATTTGAATAAAT